CTGGAGGGAGGGAGGGAGAGGGGGATTGGACAAAGGGGGAAGGCGAGGGGAGGAGGTTAGGAAAAGGTGAAAGCACACGGACGGACATGGATTACAGACAGACAGACGGTTAATCACACACTAAGACACGCTATATGTGTTACGAGTATACGAGTATACGAGTATACGAGTATACGACAACAGTTTTGCCTTACGGTGTGCATAGAGGCACACCCACACTTACGTACATATATACACACTTATATGCATGCAACCCTTTTGTTTGGGCCATGTCGGGGCTTCGCTGGTGCTGACAACCCCAGAGCATAGCAGCACATATGCATACGTGTAAACCTCGATTATGTACACACAGACGGGCCTCTCCTTGCCCTCGTCGTAGTGTTGGCATGACCTGACACATACAGATATACACACATACATACAGACAGACTCATACACGTACACATACACACGTACACATAAACGCACCTTGCCGGTCCTCCTCTCCAGCGCCCTCATCCTCCTCTTGAAGGCCGCATTCTCGTACGCCGCAATCCGGCCCTGAATGGTCACCTGGCGGTCTCGGAGCCGGCTGAGGTCCGCCTCCGTCTCAGCCCTCTCAACTCGGAGCTTGGCCAGGACAGCCTAGGGGGAGAGAAGGGGGAAGAGGGGACGGGAAGGCACCGTTTGCACGTATGTATGATGTGTGAAACAGGGGGGTGTATCTTCGCCCGTGGCAGCTACCCTGCGAAACCCTGCCTTCCCCGGTATTTCGGGGCACCCTCATCCAGTCACCCTAGTCAACTTCTCAGTGGATCGCTCAGGTTCCGCACCCACCACCGGCATCCAACGGAATCTGCCGGGTCGACTGCGGCCCAACTCCGTTCCTGGTCGGCTCGCAGGTTAACTTTATCCCGGGTCACCACCGTCCATCAACTAGGGGCGCTATGCCTTCCACCATCGGAAGGACTTTGACCCTAATGGGTATCGATCCCGGGATCTCCCGGGGGCAATAGTCGCGCCTTACCAGTAGTGCCAAACCCTATATATGTATGCACACACATACACACATTTTCCCACCTCAATGCCCAACAGCACTGTCTTCCGGCTTTCCTCCGTGGGCGATTCGTAAAAGGACGCCCGGGCTGTTTCGTACTCCCTACGAGCCGCCTCCACTGCCCGCTGCTGCTGCTCCAACCTTTGAGGAAGAGTAAGAGACAGAGTGAGAGAGTGGGAGTGAGAGAGTGAGACAGATACGGATAAGTGAGTTGATGAATACATGCAGCACTAAAGGGCGAGGGGGGTCCGCGTTCCCTTCCCCACCCCTCTCACACACACACACACACGCTGTCTCTCTACCACTTCGCTAAACTACCTTAGGAGGCAGTGCTCTTACCTGGCCGACAGCTCCAGGATGAGCGATGCAACTTCATCCCAGGACTGCTGCTCAGCCATGACGTCGATATCGCCACCCTGAGGGGACAAGGTGGGACAAGAGTGTGCGTATGTGGGGAAGGAAATAGGAAAGGGAAGGGGGACCCCGATGGGAGGGCGCCGCAGAAGAAATGGAGGGAGGAATAGAGGAGGAGAGGGAGAGAGAGGGGGGGTGCAGGATCAAGCCGGCTCATGCTGGCTGGTAATGGCGCTGTGCCGGGGCCAGAGAGAGGTGTGTGCAGGACTGTGGGTGGGTGGGTGGCAGAGATGGAGGGCGCCAGGAGGCCGAAGACGTTTGCACATGTATGTAGTCGCACACCGTACCTGGTCTGACGAGACGGAGATGTCCTCCCCATCGTCGCCCAGGCCGCTGCTTCGTCTCCCCCTGTACAGCCGTACAGCCGTACAGTCAGGACGGGGAATCGCGCAAACACACAGGTCGGTAAAGGTGGCATATGAGGTTTTCAGAAAAACACATGCAACCCTGTCCGCTAATCCTTCAACATTTCCTCCTGCCCTTCAAAGTCGGCTCCACACACCAAAACACACGCACACGCACGCACCTGTCAGCCATGAGTACGGTCACATCCACCTCCAGTGGTTCCAGTCTGGCAGCTAGCTCCGAAATCATCCTCTCCCTCTCCTCCAGGGAGGAACGCAGGAAATCGCACTGCTGCTGCTGCTGCATTTGGAGAGTCTGAAGTGGCGTGGAAGAGGGCAAGTGGGAGGGCGGAAAGTCGTGACGGCGTGTTACATACAGAGTACTGTGAACCCCAAAGGTGCAGGATGAGATTGCGCGGGAAGAGATAGCGAGTGTGCATGTGCCAAATGGCTGAGGGAATGTGTACACGTGTATGTGTACATGTTTTTCCCCTTAAAAAGGCTAACTACAGTACCGAAGAAGTGCACGACAGGCCTAGGCGTTAAAGGAAGCCCCCCTCCCCCGCCCTCCCGCTCGCACCTTCCACCTCCTCTTCTTCACCCTCTTCCTCTCCAGCAGCTCTTTGCCGGCGGACACGTCCGAGGTCAGCGCCTCGATCTGCAAATGCAGCCCCTCGCCGTCGGAGCGCAGGGAGGCTATCTCTGTGCCGCGACGACTGATCTCGGCTTGGAGGGAGTCGCGCTGCTGCTTGAACTGCACGGTGTGTGTGTGTGGGGGGGGGGTTGTAGGTGGGTAAAAAGGGGCGGGGTAGGTTGGCTCCGTGGGGGGTTAGGGCAACGTCAGCTCGAGGGAGGGAAGTGTGTCAACAGGGGACTTCGCGACGGGGAGAGGGGAGAGGTGCGAGCCCACCGCAGGCCCCTACGACCTGCCTCCTTCATCGCTACACCTGTCACCGGCCATCGCAACCCCCTCCCCGGCAAATGTCCGTGGTTTCCACGGTTTCCCATCTCGGCGCGCCACCTCACCTTCCCATAAACACCATGCATTTCTTCCCCCCTTTTTTTCCCCACACCTCCCCTCCATCTCTCTTTCCCCCCCCCACACACACACACACGCCGCACCTAACCCCAATCTTCCTCGCCCCAACCACCCACCGTTCTCTCCAGGGCCGTCTTCTCTCCCAACAGCCTCTCCACCTGCTTTCAAAGCCTCTGCCTCTCCTCGCCCGCGGGGGCTATTTCGGCCTCCCAGGACTGCATGGCGTCAGCCTGGGGCTAAACCCCCTCCTTGGCCCCCCCTGTATTGGGGGCGGGGGGGTGTTTGAAAAAAACCAAAAGTGGTTTTACTGAGGGTAAAGGAAAGGAAGACATGACATATGACTATGGGGTGGTGTATTGGGTGCGGGGCCGGGGCCGGGGAGGAATAAAAAACACATGGAGGGGTGACCACTCCTGGAGAGCTCTGTAAATGGACTGGCGGCGGGAGCAATTAAAAGGTGGCCAGGTTTGAAGAGCTAGACCTTGGAAGGGCGAAGGGGTAAAAAGGGCCGTCAGGCAAAGAGCTAGCGAATTCGAGGGGTGAAAAGCAAGAAACCGAAACCAGGGCAAGCCCAAGGATATCCGGCCTCGACTCCACCCCACGCTCAACCCGCCACCCGCACCCTGAGCCCGTCCCCAACCGGCTCCTAACACCCACTCTAGCTGAATCTCCGCATCCTCCGCCCTCCGCATGGCGTTCTCCAGCTCCTGCTTCACTTTGTCACACTCCTCCTTAGCGGCACTCAGAGCTCGATCCAGGGAACCGATCTGGGGGAGGAAAGGGTGTCAGGGTGATTGAGAGAAGCGGGAGAAAAGCGGAGTTGCGATGTGCGCAGGGCCCCGGCTTTAGCGAGCTAGGAGTCAATATAAGCAGCTGTACCGCGAGGTGTGGACCGGGTGAGAGCAGGACGGCACCCCAACGATGGCCCAACCCGGCACAAACGACGAGGACAAGGGAAGAAGAAGATACTGCTACCGCCGCCGCTGCTGCTGCTGCTGATGATGATAATGATGATGATGATGATGATGATGATGATGATGATGATGATGATGATGATGATGATGATGATGATGATGTGCAAGATGAGCAAATTACCAACTGCCCATGGTGTCCAAATTACCAACTGCAGCTCCTTAGGGGGTATCAGGGGTTTCGCGGAGAGGCCAGTGGCGCCCAGGGCACATGTAGAGGGACAGAGGTTTGCAGTTCTATTGCGCTATTGCATGAAATGCCACCATACGTTCTTTTTGCATGCACCAAATGTATGCATGTCTCGACGCGCCGCTGCTCGCGGACCGCACCCACCATCGCCTTCTTGTTCTCAATGTCCAGCAGCGCCGCCGTGAGGGAGTTCTGCACCTGCTCGGCCGCGTTCTTGGCCGAGTCCGAGGCGGCTGCCAGCGCCGCCATCTCGTTGCTCTTGTGCTCTATCTTGCCCTCCAGGGTGCGAACCTGAGGGAACAAGGTTCGCGGAGGCCGGGGCGGGGCGGAGAGGGAGCTGGGGTGGGCAATGGAGAAAACGGGGGATTTGGAAGAGGAGGAATAGACGCCGAAGGGTGTAGGTTGAGGCACGGGTTGGAGGGTAACGGGATGGGATGGGGAAGGCATAAAAAGCGCATGAGGAGCACTGGGGACCACTAAAACCAAAAGAGTACCGGAATAAGGCCAACAACGGCACCAAAGGAGGTCACATTACATGTTGGTCGCGGGCTATTCAGGGAGTGTGTCACGTGTGTCTGTATGTGTGTGTATGTGTGTGTGTGTGCATCGCGTCAAAGGTACTCCTGTCGCTCCACCTGGACCTGGACCCACCTGTCGTTCCATCCTGAACAGGCTCCACTGCAGGTCCCCGGCCCGTTTGGTGGCGTCCAGGAACTGCCGCTTGCAGTAGCCGCGTGCAGCGTCCTGCGGGCGAGGAAAACGAAGGGAAAGCGGGGTCGTGGCGTGGTGGTGGTGGTGGTGAGAGGAAGGTGGGGAGTGGGTGGTGGTGAGAGGAGGGTGGTGAGGAGGAGGTGGTGAGGGGAAGGTGGGGAGTGGTTGGTGGTGAGAGGAAGGTGGGGAGTGGGTGGTGGTGAGAGGAAGGTGGGGAGTGGGTGGTGGTGAGAGGAGGGTGGGGAGTGGGTGGTGGTGAGAGGAGGGTGGTGAGGGGAAGGTGGTGAGGAGGAGGTGGTGAGGAGGAGGTGGTGGTGAGGTGGTGAGGGGAAGTCAGTGGAATGTGGGGTAAGTAAAGTGACCGGGGGAGGAGGGGTCACCACCAGGAAGGGGCTCGGATACTGGAGGCCAGAAGGCCATGTGTTATCTTCACGACCAAACACTGGGTTACAAATCTGGCCTCATGCGACCCATGGGTTCCAGCAGTACTGGGTTTGAAGGTCACGATGCGACAAAACAAAATGTCGCAGGGTCACTGTCATAACATCGACCCATGGGTCACCATACCATCCTTACCTGTGCGGCGGCAGCTTTGGCGTAGACCACCATGGCACGTGACACCTCCGCAAGACTGTTTCTAGCAACCGCCAACTCCCGTTCCAACCGCTCTAACCGTACGTCCCGGACCTCTAAATCATGCTGCATCGTTATGGCTTTGGCCAGCAGCGTATTGCGCTCAACCTGGCGGTGTGTGTCCAGGAGGGGTTAAGGGAGTGTAAGGGGCGGCTTTAAGCGTATAACGAAAAGGATAGATACGACGGTCGGAAATCAGGAAGTCAGGTATTGTTGACAAAAGCATCTGTACAGGTCATGGAGAGTCCCGGGGTGCCATATGGCTCTGTGTGTGGTTTAAAATTCTGATCCGCGGGCAGGAGCTGGCGATGATAGTACTGTTTGTCAGTGTGAGCGTGGGCGTTATGGGTAGAGAAGGCGACGAAAGAGTAAAGGGGTGGGTGCGGGGGATTTGGACTGCAAGGTGGTAGGTGAGGTTGCGTGGCCAGGGTTTTCATCTCTGTAGTGAATTGACGGAGAGAGGAAGATAGAACGAGGCTGCTGCTAGTCAGGGAAGGAGAGCGGGTTCATGGGTGAGTACGGCTGGTGGGTGGAGAGCCGCAGGTAAACATCGGGAAAAGGAATCCAGGACTTTTTCCTGGGCAAATTAGAACCAAGCAGAAAATAACCCCTTTGTTAATATTCAGTTTGAACCAGGGTGGGAAACGTAGGATAGGGCTTTTCCGACAACTGGCAACCGCCAACGGACCACGAACCGCCTACCTGAGTGGACGCCAGATCGGTGCGCGTGATTTCCAGTGTACGACTTAGCTCGTCCGCCTGCTGGTCGACGGCCTCTTTGGCTCTGTGTACGGCAAAGGAGGGCATGCCGCGGGGAAAACACAAAAGCGCACGTTACAAGTACACATATTCTATTAGCCAGTTTGCGGCGCTCAGCACGAGACAGTGGGGCGTCTCTCTCTTTCCCGTCCCACCAGTCAGCACTTTACCAACAGCGGGCCCCACCCTGACCTCTCATCCTCGCACCACCACCTAACCTCCTAACACCCACACACTACAGGACGCGATGTGAAGCCGCCGCAGTTTCCCGCACCCCTTCCCTACCCCAACCCCTTTCCCTTCCCCTCTCTCCTTCCTCTCCTCTCACCGTTTCAGCCGCGTCAGAGCCTCCTCAGTGTCCCTCCAGTTGCCCTGCACCGTCCTCAGCTCTGTACCCACCTCCGCCAGGGACGTCTGCAGCTGGGCTACTGTGGCGCGAGTCTTGTCAAGGTCAACCTGGGGGGCCAAAGGGGGAAAGGGAGGGGGAAAGGGAGGGGGAAAGGGAGGGGGAAAGGGAGGGGGAGGGGGAAAATCATGTCATGATGCAAGAGGCAAAGGGGCACAGCTGCCGACACACGTCCCAAAGCGATGGGGCGGGGCGGCGGGCAGGGTTCTTCAGGGCGAGCCGGAGGCGGATGAGGCGGCGGAGCCGGGATAGGGGAAAGAGAAGGAGTGGAAAGGGAGAGGGCCAGGCAGCGTGTACGTGTATGTGTACAATCTTTTTTTCTGCACGCGTCGTCAGCGGCGGATTAGAGGGGTACAGACACACCGCGCACACACAAAAAGGGGGACACGCGACGGACGGAGGTTTTAAAACCCGCTCCCGTACAACACGACCCCCTGACGTACCTGTAGCTCGTGTTCCTTTACTTTGGTAGCCCGCAGGGTGTCGCGAACGTCGTACAGCGCCCGAGCGGTATTGGCGGTTGCTTCCGTCTGTGGCGGGCGGGGGGATTGAGGTGGATTCCATTAGTAAGCCGATTCTGCTGGGTTGGATTTCTGTGAGAAATCTTGGAGGAAACCTTCGAGCGAACCTTCGGGCAACCTCACATGTTTCATAATTATGGAGGTCGCGGCATGAAAGCAGCTGAATCAACCTAGGAAAAGGTGAGACGAAGGCATGCAACGACAAGAAGGTACAACAAAATTGAGCTGTATGGATGATTGGATGCTGCGTTATCGGTGTCAAGAAAGGTGACGAAAGAAACTCAAAAGGGGGCAAGTATGGGCTGGCGAGAGGGGGCGTGTACGACGCTCTCCTGCCGCTCCACGGTAACTCCCTCTGGGTGAATGGGTACCGAAATCCGATACCCTTATGAGACGAAAAAGACAACGACGCGCTATGTCGCAGAAATACCGTACATTCATAAGGTGGTACGAACGCACAACCGTACGAACCTGGTCGCGCCACATGCCGTACAGCTGCCTGGAGAGGTCACCAATTAGGTTTGCATACAGCACAGTCGCCTCGGCCCGAGCAGGCGCGTCCAGGGGGGGAAGCACCGGCGGCAACGCCATGACGTCGACGGCGCTGCTGCTGGCGGCGGCAGCGACGGCGGCGGCGGGGTCGCTGCCCTCAGCGCCACCGGCATCGTTGGAGCCGCCAGTCAGCGACTTGCGCGTCGCCGCGCGCAGGGACACTGCCGACGCCTCCGCAGCCGGCGGCAGGGTCGCCGCTGAGGCGCGTGTCGACGACTGCGCCGACGGCATCAGCGACAGCGACCCTGCCTTGCTGCCGCGTTGGGCTGGGTTGGAGCTGACGCTGACGCCGCTAGCTTCAGCTGATGGCTGCTGCTGCTGCATGGCTGCGTCGGCGGGGGAAGAGCTTAGCGGCGGCGGCGGTGCCGCCGTCGCGACGGAAATAGCGGGAACTATTCCGGCGGCCGTGTTGGCGGCCCCCTGGAGCAATGACGCGAGAGAGTTGACCAGCTGCGTATTTGGCTGCGGTGGCAGGTATAGGGAGTTGACGGTTGGAAGTTGTCAGTTTGGGTACAAGGGATTCAAAGTAAGTTCATAAGCAAATTTCCGGGAGAGAAACCAAATATTCCGGAGTTCCCCAACCACCCTACATTTCCCCACCCGTCCCGTCCGACCCCGACGCAAACCCGACCAACTCCCATACACACATACATACGCACATGCCGGGGCCCTCCCCAGGAAACACGCAAGGCGGGTGTCACCTCCGGTTGTTCGCTCCATTCCCTGGGACCTCACTTCGCTCTTCCTCGCACCCTATTCGCTGGACCTCCACATTTTACCCCATGACTATATATGATGTGGCCACTTACCACAACACGCGATGGGTGGATGGATGCATGGATGGGTAGATACACTCACCCGGAGCGCCTTTTCCAGCGTTAGTGCGTCGTACACGCCCCTCACGTGATCCAGGATCCGGGTGGCTCGTTCCTCCGCTGCCTCCAGCTCCGAAGTCAGATGGTCACGTTGCATGACGAGGTCCGCCTGTACGGCAAAAGGAGGAGGCGGTAGGTACAACACTGTAGTACACACAGCGTCAACAGCTGGTTGCGTAAAACACGGTGTTTGGCCGATCCACACCACACCACACCCGCACCTCACCTGCGCTACGGCTGCGTCTGACAGCTTCGCCGTGGCACTAACGAGCTGCGCCTGTAGCCGTACCCTGCCGTACGGCATGACAGGAGGGAAAGGAGCGCAACATGTCGGGGGAGTGTGTGTGTGTATGTGTGTGTTGTGTGTGTGTGTGTGTTGTGTGTGTGTGTGTGTTGTGTGTGTATGTGTGTGTTGTGTGTGTGTGTGTGTGTGTGTCTGTATGCAGCATGCGGTGGCAATGGAAGGTTTTAAGGTATATGCCTGGCGGTACATCGCAATGGTACGGAATATTCCCCCGAACACCCTCCTCAGTGCCTTTTACCTACACCCTCACACCACACACGCGAACATATGTGCACATACAAATATCTATATCACATATGTATCTGTATATTCAACGTGTATATCCAAACACACACACACACACACTCCTTCCCCCCATTCCCCCTGCTCACCTCTCCTCGACCTCCGCCACGTACTTGGTCACTGCAGCCTGATGGGCCTGGCGCTCCCGCTCCAATGACGTCTATACATGCGTATGACAAGAAGCGAATCGTACAGCAGAGATCAAGCCCCGCCGTGCGAATGCGGTTACGGGTAATGCGGCGAACATTAACATTTCGGTTAGCTTGGGACTTGGTCCGTCGCCGTCATCGCTTCTCCACCCGATGAGTATTATTTACACCTCCACAGCACCCACTCTCCCCACACCCGCACCCGCACACCCACACCCTCACACCCACACCCTCACACCCACACTCTCTCTCTCTCACACACACACGCATAGCTCTATCCACGGGGCCCCCGGGGCCTCTGGTCGACCCCCCCGGGTCTACCCCCAGGTAACTTTGTGCCTACAGTAAGCACACCCAACCCAACCCCCCATCCATGCACCCCTGGAAAACCTCCTACTGATCTTTCCACTTGTGAGCCAACCTAATGCAGCACCTTAGCGCGGCTGCACCCGGGCAGGTGCTCTGTAAACACCCCCTAAGGAACCCCACCAAGACCACAAACTTCACCTACGCTCTGCAAACACCCCCTAAGGAACCCCACCAAGACCACAAACTTCACCTACAACTTCACGGCGCAACATCATATGACCTTCCCTCCCAACACACGGCAAAGGATGTTTCCCCCTCCCCCCTCCCACACACATCCCCCCTCTTCCCTCCTCCTTCCCCCCCTTGCCCTACCCGCCAACCTAACCTCTCACCTCTGCGGCCGCCACCACTCACCCCAACCGCCCCTCACCCCAACCGCCCCTCCTCCCACCTGCAGCTCCGCCACCTGGCCCTTGAGCACCTGCCTCGCTGCCCTCTCCTCCGCGTGCGCATTAGTCAGCCAGGCCACCGCCTGCTCTGTGTTGACTGAGTCCTGCTTGGCCTGAAGGGTGGTGGTGGTTGAGGAGGCCCAGACAGACGCGGGAATGGGAAGACGTGGCAATAGTTGGCGACTCCAGGGGCGAGGGAGGGAATAGGATATCCCTGGGTGCATGGAACCATCCGCCCACCCACCCACCCACCCCAGGTAGCAGTCACACACTTATCCGCCGTCACCCTGTGCAAACGGAGGAGGGCGACAAGAGGACAGGGCAGGAGAGGTGGAATGGGCTCTTCCTGCCATTACTCCCGTTGATTCATGGGGCCCTATGTCAACCCCGTGTTTGTCCGGAGAGGGGTGCAGGTCAAGGGTCCCTTACCTCGGCCAGCTGTTCCTTAGCGAACAGCAGCTCCGCCATGGCAACTTGTTGGGACTGGTAGAGCTTGAGGTAGTCGGAACGGAAGGCGACCTGGATGATAAGGGGTGTGGAGGGAGGGCAGAGAGGGCGGAGGAGGGAGGGAAACATGAGCGAATACTCCAACAACTAGGCCAGGGAGGCCAGGTAAGGAAGAGGGTTAAGGGGAGAGGCTGAAAGAAGAAAAGGGAGCTAGGAAGGGAGGACATGTGATGCAGAAGGGCAGGGGGTAACGATTAGGGAAAAGAAAGGTAAGTGAGGAGTACAACTACCCCCACCAGCCCCCAACCGCACCTGCAAGGCGCTCTCCGCAATGGTGAGGAAGCCCTTCCAGACGTTGGAAAGAATCTCCGTACGGAATTCGTTGTGCGATAAAATGTCCTAACGGAAGGTTGTGCGTGTGTGTATTGCGGAGGGGAAAGGGCCAGGGGGTGGGAGGCCGGCGGTGGCGTACCGTCAAATGGGGGGTAAAACGTCATGAAAGTGCTGGTCTTGGACATACATACATACATTCACACATTCATTCACACATACATTCACACATACATTCACACATTCATTCACACATACATTCACACATTCATTCACACATACATTCACACATACATTCACACATACATTCACACATGCATTCACACATACATTCACACATACATTCACACATTCATTCACACATACATTCACACATACATTCACACATACATTCACACATACATTCACACATGCATTCACACATACATTCACACATGCATACATGCGAATGATGATCCCTTCGCAACATCACATGCAAGCATGGGATGCCCACCCCGAGTACCCGACGCCCGGACAAAAGGTTCAACGTCGAAATGGCTGCACAGGTCTACACTACACTACACTACACTCACCCCCATGCGTTATTGCATGGGGGTGGGTCTGGAAGGGCGTTTGTGTTCGGTGGCCAGGTCCTCGGTCAGAAGACGTGTGCCGCAGCAGCCGCAATCTGCCGGTAAACATCAATTGCCGATGTCCACTTAAAAACAACCGTCTCTTTCCCCCCCTTCCCCACCACACTACACTCAACCCCTGCCCCCCTCGCCCTCCTGCGTCAGACCCCTGCCCCACTCTGCACCTGCATCACGTCGAAGAAGCCCACCGTGTAGACATACATACAGCGGTACAGCCGGTCAATGGCCTCATTGGACAGCCCCGCACCCAGCAGCTCCACCCGGGTCAGACCGTAGCTGGCCAGACCCTGAGCAGGGGGAAAAGGGAGAAGGAAAGTGCGGAGGTGGGGGAAGGACGGGGTAAGGAGGCGGAGGAAGAGGGGGAAGGGAAAACACAGAAAGCGGACGGGGACTCGAACCAGGAACAAGGGGCTAAAGGGGAAAATGTGAGACAACGTTACGCCGAAGCAGAAGGGAGGGAGGCGGAAGAGGGTAGCGGGAGCCACTCAAGGATGTGCAGGGGGGGGTCGCCTTTTCCCCCTAGTCCCTCGTGGCCCCAACAGGAGTTGACGGCCTTACTGCCACACGTACCTTGAGAGCGCTTGCGTCCACCTTCAGCGGGTCTGCGGACGACGATGGCCAACGGTCAATGACGTCAACGCGGGGTCAATGGCAATTGGAACTAACAGCAATGTGGGAAGTGATGGAGGGAAAAGCCGCTATCTGACACCAAGAGAACCGTTGACGATTGAAGCAAATGCCCAAGATAATGGAGGGAATCACAGTGGCATGCGGACAGAACCCAAAACACACAGACGCGTACACAGACGTACAGAATGATCTCGCGGCATCCCATCCCTCCTTTTCCAACACATGCACACACACACACACACACACACACAATCTCTGTTGCTATGCCCTTGTCATGTTTAACGATCACCGTCGCCATTTCCTTTTCACTGCTCAGGTGATTAGAACACACCCTCGCTGTTCGTTTAGATGCAGCCAATACGTCCCCCTTCCCAGGAGAGCACACGGTCCCGCTGGGCCCATGTCAATGACCCCTTTCGAGCCTCAGCACCCAACCCATCACGTTGGTGTCGGCAATTAATGGAATTGTGCTTCCCCACCCCATTACCTCCCGAACCTCCCCCTCCACCCCCCGCACCACCCCCCGCACCTCCCAATCCCTGTGGGCCCCCCAGGGCCGTGTGTCCTCCTCCTGCTGCCCCTCCGCTGCTGGCCCCCGTGTTGTCCAGCACCTGGTTGACCCACAGCTCCAAAAGGATGCGGCCGTACTCGCGCTTGTTCTCGCGAATAAGGGCCTGGCACGGGTTGGAAGAGGAGGGGAAGGGAGGTGTGTGTGTATATGTGTGGCGGTATTACAAGTGCACTAAGATGATGGCCCACACACAGCCGCCGCCTCACCCCTAATCAATGACGTGTACCAGCGTGCGCACAGCAATGTCAGCCGCGTTCACAGCACCAGTAGAAGCCCATTTGTCCCCCCGGGACACATCCTTTGTTTCTGGACGGTGACCCCTTCCCCAGGCACACTCATACGCGCATAGACTGAAAGGACCCACCATCTCCCGTTCCTTCTGGTCCAGTGCCAGGGAAGCCTGCAGACGGTCAGGGCAAGCGGATCCAGAAGTAAGCGTGCGACCCATGGGTCCGTGCAGGTAACGATGTGCGGCCCACCCACCAACCCCAAACGCCCGGGTGCGCAAAAGCGGTTGGCAGCCAGGCTTGAACCGCAGGTAAGTGTCTTACATCGCATTGCATTGCAAAGCATCGCGACGTGCCTCATGGCCGACTGGCGGGCAACCGCTCCCTGTGCCATCCCCACCGCCCGTTCGCTTTCATTTTTAACCTTATCCGGCCACCGCACCTGGTTTCCAGTCCACTTACCCGCACCAAATCCGTCCAATCTCCCACACCCCGCCCGTACACATTACCCCGCCCAAGGCCCCCATCCCAGCTCGCCTGTGCTGTTTGGCTTTCATCCACAACCACATCGTTCGCACCATCACCCGTATGCACATGGACGCAAAAACCTTCCCGTGCGTGTCTTCCCCCCAACTGCGAAGCTACGTCCTCAGCTCCCGCAACCCAGATTCCCACCCAAATCCCGCCCTCGTCTCCCAACCCTTGTCCCTTGCGGCCCCTCTCCCACTACCCACCTGCAGCACTGTCCTGTGGTCTCCATCCACCATAGACCGGGTCAGCAGGGCCGCCTTCCGAGCCCTCCGAGCGGGACTAACACCCGGGCTCACGTCGTCCACCATGACAGAGTCAAACGCCTCAACAGCCGTGTCTGGAAGAAGGGGGTATGGGGAGAAGGGAGAGGGTTGCGTGTGGCGACGGCTTTAGAGTTTAAACAAAAGGGAAGGGAAGGGGAATGATGAATGAGAACTGGGAAGGCGAGGGGGTTACTGTGGAGGATGGCTGCGACAGAGGAGATAGACAACCCACAACGCGCTTTTACGGCCGCCGCATTGCACCAAGAAGCTTTCACAGCATCGCATCGGGGCGAACATAATCCCCTCCATCGGCGCCGCTGCGGGTTACAGCACAGCACCAGCGGCAGCATCAACAGCAGCAGCGGCTTTTCCAACAGCATTCAGTCTCTGACCGGCCCCGCACGGTTCCCAATTTCAGTCGTGACCATCGCATGACGAAGCGGGAACGGGTGACAGGGAAACCTGTGGCCACATCGAAACCCAAGCCAGGACACAGGTCTACAGCCAGACTGGAATCCCGATCTGGGTCGCGGTCAGGAGGCGCTAGAGCGTAGACAGCCAGGGCCGCGGCCTCCTTCCGAGGCTCCGATCCGCATGACGCCGAGACCCAGGGCCGTTCCCTTGGCATCTCCATGTCATATCCCAAGTGCTTTTTGTGACGCGACAAGGTGAACAGGGAGATGGCGGGTGCCTGTGGGTGCCTGTGGTTCGGGGTTGGGGCGGGCTGGCAGGTGGTAGCGCACCTTTAGGCCGGTTAAGCGGCGGAAGGTGGGCCGACGGGGCCGAGCGGCCGTCCGGCAGCGCCACGGCAGGTTCCCCTGGAAGGCCGGTTTGGGATGTGCGGCCATTGCCGTATGGCTGCAAGATTGGAGGGAGGAACGGCGGTATGGTGAACGGCGCTCTGGTGGTGCAGCTGGTTTGCACGGTAATGGAGAATGCCATTTAGGGGCAGCCACGCTGGGTGTATGTCAGCGCCTGGTGTGGTTGCAAGCAGATTCTGGTATACAGCTGGCGTCTTGGTAAGGTGGACACCTAATTCTCAACAGACTCAAGTAAATAGCTATGCCCCTGGTTGATATGTTGTTTATAGTGAATTTTAAGTGGCCTTAGGAATTGAAGACAATTCAAACCTCGCATAACATTTACATATATATTATTGTTTACTCCATGGGGTTTCAGAAGACAAAGCCATGCAACCCCAGCATTCCATGGTGCGCACCAGCGGCTCCAGCCGAGCACTCCCTTTCCGCCTGGGCCCCAGATTTGTCATCACTTGCTGCTGCGACATGGCTCCTGTCGCTGCAGGCAAGCACCTATTACTTCAGTTTCTTATAGCTCATCATTTTAAGGCACGGGCGACAGCCCAGCATACTTTGAGACATCATAAGCGCGTATACATTAAAGCTTGGTGTTCTTTGGTTCAGCAACCGCAGAAGACCGAATGTCGTATCTGGTTTCGGAGGACGTCCCCAAATGACAAAAACGCCAAGTTATTCATGGGGCTTCAACGCTGATCGTTTCGCGTCATCTCTGTCTGACTCCTACATGACACCACAGCTTGTAAATTGATTCTAAACACAGAAACAAGCTTCCGCGGTGTTCCGGTACACAATGTCCTGCAAGTCCGATGTCCGTTACAATTTCTCTCGAGCTTCTGGTAGGTGAAACCTCCTCCATGTACGTATGTTGGATCTGGCGTTAAAGTCATACATTTGGAACCTGCTTGTCTCGTCCTGCGTTTGTGCCGTACTGAAACATGGCACCTGAATTCAAACAGAATATGACGAGTACGTGTATGGGGCAGCAAGGCCTGGTGCGGTTGGGCAACGATGCTTTAACCCAGATGACAAGGTCACTCCAGCCGAAGGTAACTCGCCCAGGCGAACCTTGCCACGCTGGCCTCATTGAAGGCCCGTGCCTCACAATGTCTAACTGAAAAGGCATGCCGCCAACTGCTCCCTGACTTGGATGCTTCCTCCCTGCTCCCCTGCCCCGTTTCCTCGCGCGCTTGCTTGGGTTCCGAACATGCATTCTTGCAGTCGTCTTGTGTCTTCTTTCCCAACATTCGTCGTCTCCACCTGCACTCGCCCTCCCCTTCTTCCCCTTCACCTTCTTGCCTCCCCTTCGCCTCATGGCCTCCCCTTCACCTCCGTACTTGTCTCCCTTTCTCGCCCAGGTTTTTCGCCCACTTAAACGCTCACTTAACAGTTTTTTACAACTGGCTCCCCCGCGGCTGGCCCGCCTTCACTCTTCATTCCGTCTCCCGCTCCCCCTTCACCACCGGAAATTCACCCTCCCTGGACTGCTGTTCCCTTTGTAAAATCGCCCCGAACCCCTGACCACCAATCCCCAAACCCGACCTTCCCTGAACCCCTCGCGCTTCAGTGGAGGAGTGGTCGGATTTTATGTCGCGCCACGGCGTTCAGCGTGTGGTATCTCTGCTGAGCGATACCGAGCTAGACACATACAGCGAGCCGCTGCCGCCGGCGCTGGCCGCACGCTTCCGGCGCGCAGTGGTGCTGGACGCCAAGGCTCCAGGGGCGGTGGATAAACTGGTCACAGAGTTGAAGGACGCGGTGGATGCCAAGGAGAAGGTACGGCGGGCTAGATGTACAGCAGATGTACAGCAGGCAGTACAGCAGCCCTGTGGGTGGACTGTGCTCAAAAACCCGTAAGGGAGCCTTGACTGCCTTCATCCTCTGATAGGTGTTTGATTGCGTTGCTGTTGGATAGCCGCCTGATGTGCTGTCTGTACACTCCTGCTATGTATGCGCCATGTGGGCCCTACGGGATCACAGGTATTGGTGCACTGCTGGGGAGGCGGCGGCCGTACGGGGATAGCGCTGGCGGCGTGGCTCGTTCGAAACCACGGGCTGATTCCGGAGCAGGCGGGCAGCCATGTGGAGCAGTACAGCAAAGCGCAGGGGGCGTCCAGGCGCGCAGACGTGGCACAGCTGCGAGACTTCCTGGGCAGCGGTCGCGACGGCAGCTGAAGGGCGGGAGAAGATGCGGTTGGAGTAGGAGGGCCAGTGGCCGGTTGTTAGAGATAAGACAGGATGAAGATAAGACAGGATGGCGAACAGAATTGAGGTTTCACCTCATTTTTTAGCTATTGGCGGAAAGGAGGCATGGCGATTTGGGGCATGAAGCGTTGCGGGCAAGAAGCGTATGATGTCCAGCTACGGGCTGTCGTATATATGTATACACATGGCGGCGCAGCAACCCGCTTACTTCCTGCTCGCGGGGATGGCTCTGCCGCCGCCACCGCCGCCGCCGCGGCTCCCGTCGCCGCCGCCGGGCCGCTTCCACGTAGGTGCGGCCTTAACCGCAGGTCCAGCCTTTGCTTGCTGCCAATACACAGCTCTCTCAGAAGTCACTCTCGAAAGTCAGTCAGTCTCAGTCTCAGCCTGCTGTCTCTCCGTCTCTCATGTCCCGGAGCATGTCCCTTAGCAGGGGAGCTATCTTGTCTGGCCGATGGCTGTCCGGATGGTCCTGTCACGACTTCCGGAACGTAACCGATATCTGTTTCTGGCGTCTAGTTCGGAGAGCTGGTAGGTAGATGAAAAGAAGTGTGTCGTGGGTAAGGGCCCATGATATCACGTGGTGGTTTCGTTGCCATCTCCTTGCCATTGGTATAGCTCCTTCTTTCTCGTGGCGTGGATGCTATGTATCCGTGGGCTCTAGCTGTGTCCGCAGCGTTCAATTCGTCACCCGCAACAATCGGTCATGAAATCAAAGGAAGCCGTGGTTCCTAATACTAGGAAAGGCCACGGAAACGCGAAAGTCCTGGAGGGTACGGCAATATAGATACGGTTGCGGCGATGAAGGCCGTGGTAATGTTCTGAGTGTTGTGGTTAAGGAAAGAGTTCCCCTACAGTTTTGAAAAAAGCCCAAAGGGGCATGGGCACAAACCACACCCGGCACGGCAACCGCTCCACCTTACATGCAAGCTTACGTGCAGCGAGGTATTCCGTAGAGGGGCGAGTGCGAGGGCTTTTATCCTGCCCATTCGGTTACCAGTCACAATCGCCTTGGCGCCAAAACCCTGGTACCTCCCAAAACCTGCCCCTCTCCAATTTTAACGTGACGGAGCGGCCAACCAAGGACTAGGAATGTAAGGGATATTGCGTGTGCGCTAGCTAGCACAAGGCTTGACGTGAGGTCGAGCGGGCCTCAAATTTGCTTTACCACGAGCGACGCATGTTGAAGGGTATCATGTTACAGTAGACTCCAAACATTTACAATTTTACCAAATCATGTATCCGTTACGGAGAGCTTAGTTTATAGGCGCCACGCCCAAAGCCCTGAAACAGAACAAGTGCCTCAGGAGCCCCGAGTTGAACCCAGAGCCGCATACTGGGTGAACGAACAAAGTCAGCGGGGACTACAAGACTGCTCTGCACCACCCAACGGCGAAAGGACACGAGTCCAGGATGATGACTCCCAGTTCAATGCCCTCCATCAACCTGTACGGCCCGTCCTATATGTACGACGCCCTAATGTTTACATGGCTCCCAGGAAGGAAGGATGATGTGGATGGCTAGGCAGGTAGGCTAACACGGTGTCACGCACATAACAATGCTGGTGATATGTACAGCAGTTGTGACACTGGGGGAGGTATCCGCATCACGACACCTTCAATTCGTGTCACCTAAATGATGTTCGCGGCGGCAGCCTTACTAGAGGTTAGATTCTAAGTTAGCGGCAGTTTTGGAGTGCTTGAATCACCACCAACTTACTACTTCTGAAAGAGAGACTTAGGTAATCGCCAAACAATTAATCATCGCTAATGGCGCCGGTGCAGGCAGCCTTTCCAAGAATAGCCGGGTGATGTACAAGAACAAGATGCATCACGCCCACACAAAAATTAATAATTTACAACACGCTCACGACATACCACACATATGCTTGCGATGCATATGATTTGCATCGGGCTGCGATTTTCGACTTCAAAAGGAAACCAGAATTCTTTTGTATCCTCACGCCTCCTTGCCGGCTGCCGGCACCGCTGCCACCTGGTGCACGTTCTCCGGGGCGGCGGCGACAGACGCTGCCACCACGACCTCCCCCGAACCCGGCCCCGTCTGCCGCTGGATGGGCGGTACATGTGCAAGGCATTCGGCGACCGAGGACGCCTTCGTCTGCTTCGACAGCTGCTCCAGCGGCACAGCCCTGTACTTGAAGGTGGCCCTTGCCCGTGGGCCCGAGTCCTTGCCCGCGGACTTCCCCTTGGAAGACAGCCCCTGAAGGGCGCCACCGCCACCAGCCGACTTGCGCTTGCTGATGGACTTGGAAACTCCCGTCACCACTGCCTCCGCAAGAACAACAGCCTCGGCTTGTACGACAATTGGCGCCTCCGTCGCACCGCCGTCGGTGGGGTCCTTGCCAGCCTCCGTGATCTCGCTCGCGGTGCCATCGCGGTTGGCGCCCCCGTCGGCACCACCGCTGCCGCCGGATGCTGTCAGGTGTGTCGCCGGCGCCGACTGCGTCGTCACGACAGACACATGGCTGCTCGACGCCGAGCCCATCGACGATGACCGTTGCAACCTAACGGCCGGCTCGGAAGCAGCGCCGGTGATGGCCATGGTCTCACCGTTGGCGCGCTCTCGTACCGGCAGTAGCCGCAAACTTGCCAGCGTCCTGACCACAACGGGCTGCAGGTCCAACTCAAATGGTGGCAGCGGTGGCGGCGCCACCACAACCATCATGCCACGACCGTTAGTGCCGCTACCATTGCTTGGGATAAGCAGCCCCTCTGGCATTGCCCGCAAAGACACGCGCTTGACTAGCGCGCCAGTGTTGGCCTGCAGCGTCGCAACCTGCTGAAGCGTAGCTGACTGGAGAGCTGCTGATGGCACGAGGCCAAGTAGGGCCGGGTCTGTCGACGGCGACGAGGGCTCGGTCGCGGCGGACCCTGTCACCCCAGCCGACGGCGGCAACGGGGACTCCCCTGCTGACAGCGGCGGCGTCCGCGACGGGGGCAGTGGCAATTGTGGGGTGAGCGGCAGATCGTCACGCGCTGCCGCCGCTACAGCGGCGTTGGCGGCTGCCAGCGCTGCGGCAGCGTTGGGTAGCATCTTAATGGCAGTCTCGGCAACATCAAACATCTCGACCTCACGCTCCTCAGTCCGAACCCGGTGACCGTCATGGACTTCCATTTCCACATGTACTCGGAACGAGGTCTGAAAGGTAGGGAGGAGGAAAACAAAGCGATGCGTAGGGTCAAAGGTATGGGACCATCACCGCACCCGACACTGTGTAGACCAAAGCAAAGAAAGTGTATCACGTCATTCCTGTACAATTTGTCCTTTTCCCTCCACCGAGGGATCTGGTGTTCCCCACATCCCGAATTGCATCACCGACCCACCGACCCACCAGTCGGGTGAAGCGCTTCTCGCCCTGCACCATGCCCCACAGGCGACCCGCGCCGCCCGTTGAGAGGAAGGGCTTGTAGTTGGAGAGATGGGAAATGCGGTAGGTGCGCGGCCCACGAAGCCTGTTAACCACCTTGACAGTTGACAGCGCCTCCTCGTATGTCACATCTGTACATGGCAGTTGACAGTTAGTCATTGGTATGGCTGGCGATCAGGCTTTCGATTGAGATACGCAGCAATGGACATATCGACCCTCGCAAAGCGGATCGCATAGGCCCATAAATGTGTGTGACCAGGCACCAGTATCTCGTGCGCCTGCAGCTTGCCCCAACGCACATGCACGGCTGCTCCTCCCCAGTAATGTACTGCACCTGATTCGGGGCCCTCGTCCGATGCCCCCGCTGGCTTCAATGTCGCTGACAGTCGGGCGCACATCTTGCCAAACGTCTTCATGACAGCCCACATAATCCACCTGTTATTAACATCCAGGGGCCCATCAGCACGCCGTACAATGCAGGCGGGAGGGTGGCTGAGGCACACAAGTGAAGGGCTCTTGGTGTGCAGTTTGCGGTGCAAAGTGACTAAATGTTGTATCTAAACGAAGCTGCTGGATAGGGACAGGTAGAACATGAGTCGTTTAGCTCAGGACTCTGCGGATACTTTGACATGCCAATCTATTAGCGAGCATCATGGCAAGGCCCCCTCAATCCCCGACCCACCTTCCCGCCACCATCCATGCCCCCAGCACCAGGAACCAAATTAGGAGCGCCAGGCCGTTGGGCTGGGTGATGCGGCGACCCAGGGCGTTGTGGGTCAGGGAGGAGATGCCCTGGGGTGCAAGTGCGTGCGTGTTGCAGGAAGCCGGGAACACGAGTTAGCGAGGTGCTTCGGAGTTGGTCGAGGCTGGGGGATGGGAACTAAAGGATATTGAAGTCTAGGTAGAAAGGAAGTGACCGGGAAGGCTTGTGGAATGGCCGAATGCGGGTGGGTCGTCAGATGGCTGAGTGGGATGCGGAGCCGATTCGAGTCCGGAGAAAAACAAGCTCCTGGAGAAAAAAGCTCCAGGAACGGACCTCCATAGCACTAAAGAGGACGATACCCAGGAGGAAGGACTGACCGAGTTGACCAATCTCGCATTAGCCGCAGCCGTGATGTCCATGCTGCTAAGCTCCGCCTTGAAGAAGGTATGCATCCACAGTCCGAAGGCGCAGTGGGCCATCAACAGGATCGGCAGGAGGTCTGTGGACATAGGTTAACAGGAGGGTGGGAGGTGCATGCACGTGTGCTTGTTAGGGGGTCCAGGACTAAAAGGGATACTGCGTGCAAGAATGCTGGTAGCGGTGTGATGGAGGTCAGTTGATGATATCCCATAAAAGCATATATCCCCAGCACGAAGCGCTGAGCGGAACGTACGTTCTCAAGTGAAGTCGCACCATCCCACACTACTCACCGCGGCCCCCCGGCCGTGTGGTACAGCACCCTGGCATACGTGAAACACATTAAGCACACTCATTTACTTTGATCCTCGTCCTGATCTACTCACACACAATGACGCGAGGCAGGTGCTTCTGGTAGCGCTGCGCCGGCTGGTGCCACGTCAGCAAGTTGACTCGGTCCCACCACAACGTCACTATCAGGTAGACAGCGGCGATGAGGTAGCACAGCGGCATGCCGCTGCCAAACAGCAGCGCCAGACTGACGTTGAAAAGCGTTTCAGAGATGCGTTCCTCCAGGGTGAACTGCAGGGTGAGTGAGAAGATGAGGAGGTGTTAGCCCCAGAGGTCAACGTAAGGCGTTGTTGCACGTAAGGAGCTCCGGACATTTTGGAGGAGAGGTACGGAGGAAGACCATCTATAACCGACCGAAGCGTGAGACAAGCAAGGCAGAAGGAGGGAGTTCATTTGGCTGGAACTACTAGAATTTCTTCTCCGGTATGAACGGCGGCATTAACGGTGGATTATAATACGAATCGCACAGTCGCAGCCTTAACAGCGGGGTGCCCATCAGAACTAAACGCTCTTATACCTGACGGTTGCGGAAGGCAAGGTTGTAGTCCTCGGGCGCCGCCAGCCGGCCCATGTGGATATGCACCAGGCGGATGTGCAGGGCACGCTTGAAGACAATATCCAACGCTGACCGGATCAGTGGGCCAGCCACGTTGATCATCATCAGAATCATGATTGAGAAACCGACCGTGGCGTACCTGCAACAGGAGGTCGCATAAACAGCTTGTCTTGATGGCCGGTATGTCGGTCCATAATGGCAACCCTTAACTGCCCAGACCGGGTGGGCATCTCATTCAATGAGGCGAGAAAGAATGCCGGGCCGTATTCGTTGCGGAGCGAAACCCTAAGCATCCGTGGAAAGTAGTGTTCAATCTGAGCTGCATGGCCCCACAAAGTGCATGTGTACGTGAACGCCGTACCACTCGGGTGTGAAGTCATCAAACAGGCCGTCCAGAATCAGACGCTGCATCCAGCGGGATTCCTGTGCGCCAACCGGGGGTTAGAAGAAGGGGGAGGATAATGATGAGTGGCAGCGACTGGCAATCCAGGAACATGGGAGATGACACTGTAAACCTGAAACCTGAAAAAAACGGGGAGCATCCAGGCCTGCTTCAGACACATTTACCAACCTCCCTTTTGGTCTGCCATCGTTGCCGTTTCCGCCTCTGTATGCAAACCGCTTACCGTTCCCCCCACCCTCGTTCCCCCCACCCTCGTTCCCCCCTCTCCCGACCCCACTTTCCCCTCCTTACATGCTCCAGGGCCCTCTTCTGCAGGTCCCCCACGGTGGAGCAGTTGACGACGAGAAGTACGACAACCGAGTTGATCAGCTTGACCAGATACGACCAAACTGCATAGCTGTAAGGCAAGGGTTTGGAGGCACGGCAGCAGAAGGGAGGAGCTTCAGACACGTGTTTACGTTGGCAGAACACTAATACATATATCCAGAAGTTCTGGACCAGAACCAACCCCCTGGCCCCCTGGCTCGCCTACCTCAGCTCCGTGTCGGTTGTGGTCCAGTGCTTCTCCACGTGGAACTTAAGCTGCCGCAGAATGAAAGTCAAGAATGAATTGATGACGGCAATCACAACCGAAATAGCAATCATGATGCCCTGGCGCCTGCAGGGGTTGGGGAACGGGACAAGGTGATCATGCGGAAGGAAGAGGTCGGACAGGATAATAAGCGCGTATGCATACGCGGTCCTGAACGCTTAGGCGCTCAACAAACGCTTAAAAGCAGCAGCCAAACCTGCTTTTCTCTCATACGTATGAGCCCTCCTGCTTATTGAAGTAAGCGATGTTCGCACGTCTCCCTCACTGGGGGAATTGAAAAACGTCAACCTCCAGCATTTTTTATCCCCCATGGTTCCTCTTCGCTCCCTTCACAGACCCCCTCCCCCTCCCTACCTGAGGTCCAGAGGCTGCCAGTATTCCGAGCACGTGTCTTTAACGTGCGTCAAAAACTCGGGGGTAGCGTCTTCCGTGGGCACGGCGCTCAAACCCAGGCAATAGCACGGCAGGCAGTACGACGCTGAGCAGGAGACGCCCTGCAGATTGTAACGCCAGAAAAGAAAGGGATAGCCGGGTTGAATGGGGTGGCAGATTCACTTGCACATGCCTGCCTAGCCTGCAGATTATACCGCGTCGAGGAGGTCATGTCCTTTAACAAAGTGGCCAATTAACACACGAATAGACGTACAGGTTCACTTAATCAAGCGATGCGACAGATGCACTTTGTACGGTAACATGCACATCGCCATGCACACGCATACCGTACTGTACGGCAGTCCGTACTCACCTGGGAACATTTGATCAGGTCCTGCCGGATGGGTCGCTCGTTCAGCAGCCGGGCGGTGGCGTTGGGAAACGCCCATTCTTGACTGAACGTGCATTTATTGGGGGGGTAAGTGTATGGGGTCAGAAGGGGCGTAGAAAGGATTGAGGGTGGACTAGCGGACAAGAGGGGCGATACGAATCCAAAACCTCAATGTAATGTCCCATTTCCCCCCACTCAAACGTTCACTCGTGCCCCTCCTTGCCAGACAGTTTACATAGTACTAAATCATTCATTCCCTCCACAAACCCACCCAAACGTCATGTTCATGTTGGCGCCGGGGAAGATCTCGTCCACGTGGGCCATGCATGTACCCATGTTGCTTAAACAAAAAGTGCCGTATAAGGCCTGCGCATGTCCACAGCAAGGGATGCCAGAATGAAAAAGAATCAGCCTATTCGAACGAAAGATCTCAAAAACAGTGTATACGCGCATACGGGCGCAATCGGGCTGTGATCGTAGGAGTGCGTGACTTGCCTACCCGCCCACCATGTCCTTCACCCATCCCCTCAACACAACGCAACCACCAGGCCATGCACTACCAGCCCGAGACCCCTGCCCGAGCTGAAGCCCTCCACCGTGCACTTCCCCGTATCACTCCGCTCCATCCACAGACCTTATCGAGACCCGCACTTGGGAGCGCGCCGGCGTTAATCTTGGCCATTCCGATCCTGCGCGGAGGTTAGTTTGGTTGGTATTCCGGCCGCGCAAGTACCACCATCAGGAGCTGTTACAGAAAAAACGGCTAATGGAAAAAGAGCTGCGAATCATTGTTGGATATGCGAGTGGTAAGCTACATTTTGCGAGTCCCGGGGTTGAAAAAAAATGCCCAAACGAGACCACAAGCGCCAGCACCTTCGCTCTGTCACGCCATATTCCATACCTTGTTTCTTCACACTGCCATATGCATCCACCCTTAAGCCATGCACAGAAAACGCAGTCACACTACAGAAAGAACGTCCTCCACATAAGCGCAACGTGAGCATGCATTCGCACACCTCCCAAACCCCACCATCCCCCCCTTACCCCCACCCTGCCCACCCTATGGCTGCCATCAGCTCCTCCATGTCCCACTTGATCACCCGGGACTCCTTGTTCGAGGCGGCCGAGAGCCAGGTGATCAGCGCGGCACACACGATAATGATGGCAAACATAATGATGCCCGTGAACGCCTGGTATGAGGAAGGGAAGTGTATGAGGTGAGAAGCGAAAAACGAAGCGCAGATCGGCCCCATTCAGAGACTGTACATGACCATGGCTGTAGTTGGGTCGCGACAATATGCGCGGTCGCATACGTGTGCACAGCGTTACAAGATCGTTGGAGCTACAATAGGCTGTGATCCGGGGCTCGGTGGTGGGTCCGTCTGCGTCTGCTGCTCTTGCTTCTCACGCAGCGATCCTGCGTGTTATCACCCCTGTACACCCTGATGCTTCCCGCTCTCCGCCCCATCCTCGTCACGGTCCGCACACCGTTTCCCAACACCTCTTCACCGCCAACCATGTACCTACCGCCCACCTGGATCAGCATGTTTGTTCGGACCCGGGTCGACATGTTCTCAAAGCGGTAGTCATCCGGAGCCGCAGCACGCCGCACCCACAGCCGCCACAGCCGGCCGCCGTGGGAGAGACACAGATCTCGGCGCATAAACAGAGAGGCCCACCAGCCCGACGGCATCTGCTTGCACACCTCGGCACGCATGTGCTCCGTGTTGAAGGTCACGAAGGCCTGCGCGGGGTTGACGGTGGGTACAGGTAACGTTAGATGATAGTGGGCGGGTGAATGTTTGGTAAGGGAGTGGGTGGAATTCTAATGTTGCATTAGCACAAATTATTATTTCCGCCTCTCAGCGGTAACGCGCATATGTTGATGCAGATTTTTAACGGCCTGGACATTATTCCTAAAAATCCATAAAACCTGATTTTCCTCGCAGGTTGGCGCGCCGCAGCCGTTAAAGCCAACCCTTAAACCAACCATCAGCACCACCACCATCACCACCATAACTCCCGTCACGTACCGCATTTGTCCGGAGCTTCTTGCCGCTGATATGCGACATGATGAGTTCCTCCTGCTCGCGAATGTTGGCCATCGCCTTGTTCATTTCGGTTCGCATATCACGTGTCATTGAGGAGCTCTCCTTTACTGCAGCACAGCGTGTTCGGGGGAACATCGCTTCTTCGAGACGGTCCTTTGGACTTCGGAACACGTGCGAGATATACAGGGGCAATGGAAGGGAGGCCGCCGCTCCATATGCAATTGGGAACTAGCGGGGTTTGTTACAGGGAGCCGCCGGGGACGATAATCGGTCTTAATTGCCATCAGGGCCATGGGTTGGCTGAACTGCAACAGAGGGACTGACACAGGCTGCCATGTAACAATGTAAAGAAAGCAATATACTCACGTGCGCCCGTCTCGGGGTCATCCACGGAAGAATTGGAACACGGTGCGGCAGGCGGCGTCATGGCTGTCGATTGCGAAGGGGGAGGCGGTGACGCCTGTGAGGTGAGGACGGTGGCTGTGCTGACGGCGTGGAGGTGGATGGTCTTGGGTCGGTTGCCACTGGCAACAGCTGGCGATGACGGTGCAGCTAATGGCGTCGAACCCGGCGCGAGCTTCTGAATATTGTGGCTATCTTTGCTGGGGGTAGCGAACTCCGATTGGGCAGGCGACAGCGGCGGCGAGTTTGTGGTGTTCATCTTGGCCTCCATGCCAGCTACGAAGCCCTGCAGGTGGGCGGACCGTAAACGAGCCGTGACTAGGGAATCCCCGTGCGCCTGGCGAGGATGTTGGAACGTGTGTGGCCCCATCAAAATTCAATTGTTCCCTTCAGACGTCCATGTCCGCGGCTAGAGTTCGCCTACAATTAGCCATGCTTCCTTTTCTTTCCCTTCCGAACCTTTTTGGCATGCAGCAGGAAAGCCCTTGCGCCTTTGGCTCGTATTCGGCAGGTTTGCAGGTTCGGGGTTTCGGCACCCCGGGTATATAACACAACACACCACATACGCATCGTCCAATCGTCGATACACAGAATGCTATATCATATTACTGTGGGACGCGGGGAATAACCGTGCCATCGTACCTTGAGCTGCTCGTTGCGGTGCACTTCCTTGCAGGCCTTGACTGCGGTGGAGAAGCCATGGATGAGCACCACATCCATCACCTGCGTAATGGATGGGTCATCGCAGTTCATGTGTGTGCATGTTCGGTCTCGTCATTCAAAACTCCGGGTTTCCAGGGCCTTGTATTCCTTGACCTCGTTTTCATGAATCCCTTCTCGCAACATCCAGTTTCCTTTGTGGTAAAACCCGCTTTCCCCTCACCTTTTCCGTCTTGGCGTCCTTGGAAAACAAGCGCTCAAAGTGCTCCCCAATCTGCAGGGCGGGAATAGGCAGAGGACAAGGTATGTGTCGGCAGTAAGACCGCAGGCCAGGAATTTCGGTATGTGTATTTATGTATGTGTATATTGCTGCCACGGGTAAAGATATACCCCCCTGTTTCACACATCACATATATGTGTATGTGTGTTGTTCCCACGCCCCACCCTCAATGTCGAGGCACGTTGCTGCAGTCGCAAGTCCTCACTTCCCCGGAAATTAAAAAAAGAAGCTGGCAACCCTGCGAGCCCTGCGCTCGTGATCCATTGTGCCCCATGGGTAGCGCAGCGGCCCCACGTAGTCGGCCACTGTTATTTCCCACAACAGTCTCGTACATCGCCCACCGACGGCCGTACGTAAGCCCTAGATGTGCATGTTCATGCGCGTGCGCAAAGGCCTACCTCCGTTGCGGTAACATACGGGGGCAGTCCGCCGACAATGACCGCGTAGTCGGCCACTTCGCGCGTTTTGCGGTCCACCTTCTCCAACCACCGCCGTACCTGCAATCAGCCATTTCCGTGTAGGGTGTGGGTGCGCATGAACTTTGGTTACCAGGATAAAACAATTCAAACGACAAGAGGTCTGTTTTTTAATACTAGTATTAGGTATTACAGCGACCGCAACCAAGGGACTGAGACCCCTCAAGGGGGAGGGACTCCGGTGGCAAGGGAGTCGATATGGATCACCGCCTGCCCGACCCCGACCCCGTCGTTCTGGACGCTCTCCACCCGCCAACACGACAGACACATTTTCCCACTCGTTCGCCTTTGCAACTCATCCACCCACCCTGCCGCTGCCATTTCCATCACCCAGCCCGTTCCCAGGGTTTTCCGTCCTTCGGAACCCACCAGCAAAAACAGCACCGCCACCACCACCGTCAGCACGACTGTCGCTCCCGCGTCCAGCAACGAGACCCCTGGATGAAGAAGCGACACGGAGGGAATCGTCCAAGGGGCAGAGGGGATACGTGATTTTTCAGCTGCAAGCTAAACGCCTAGGGTTGCGGGGCCTGCAGGGCAGAGGCCAAGAGCCAGGGCCCAGAGCCGGCAGGGGGACATCATAGCAAATGCAACAGAACGCAAACCTTGGGGCACTTCCCCGAAGTGCACCATTCAAGGGAGGGTACTGCAAATAGTGAAAGAATGTGAAGAGGTGCATCATGCGCAACCACGTCGGTGGGTGCAACCATGTGCATAACGATGATAGGCCGATTGCACTGTGTTCCAGCTCAGTTTCATTAAGGCATGCACGCACACACAACACACACACATCAGATTTGGCGGTGCAAAACAAAACGTTGGACTAAATGTATCCCGATGCCATGAACCTTTAGTCGAGTAATCCACAGGGCTTTGCTAAAGGAGCTAAACACGCGGGGGCGCAATCCCCCTGCCAACAGCGAGGGACAGAACGACTCACAGGTCAGGAAGACACCCTTCTGCATGGGCCCCTTCCACACGTCGGCAATGTCAGTGTTCATGTACTGCAATGTGCCATTGTCTTTCTTGTCGTCAACAATGGCGGCGAAGGTGAAGGACGCCAGCTCAAAGCTATCGTACACCTTGACGCCGTAATTGTGGTCGTACCGGTGCGCATAGTCCGTGAAGATTGAGGTGTTGATGGTGATAAGGTACGGCACCTGGGATATGTGGAGGGTACATCGTCATATACAGCGGTGGAGGCAGCAACACAAGAGCAGCTAGGCGCTGGACGCGTCTTAGACCCCGAACAGGTTCATCCACAGACGTCCTTCTGCACACGGAACTTCGACAGGGGATTTGGTGCTGTTGCAACAACCAACAGCCAAGTCGAGGATGAAAAACACGTGTTACTTGAATGCTCAGCTTGGAATGGTCTTCGTGCGGAAGAAGGATTCCATCATCAACACAGCATGTTGGAGGCCATGAAATGGGAGCCAGCTAGTCTGGTGAGGATGTTGGACGGTGTGTGGGCTCACCGCAATCCAGTTGTGCCCTTTGGGCGCTAGTTTTCTCTTTTCTTCCTAGTGCGGCATTCCTTTTTCGTGGCTTTTAGGCGTTCAGGTCTTGTCGTTGGGTCTTCGGCTCGTACATACACGGACGCACACAGCCACAGATGGAAAATGGGTGCCTGGACTCTTTGATTACCCAAATCAATCACTGCGGCAACCGCACTCACCGAGCAAACCATCATCCAAACCATCATCCAAAACAGCCTGCAGGACATGGACACGGGAAGCCCGGGTCAAGACGCCGCTACTGTTCGGCTTTGATTGTAATGTAGGAAACGTATACCGTAGTGCAAGGTGATAAGTTAACCCAGATGGAAGGTTGCTGGTTTGCTTTCAGAAGCGTCGCCCACCATTCACCGGATATATAGATGAAGGGCAGGAAAAAACCGAAGAGTTTGCATCATTGTCACGGCGCTTTGGGGCCTGTTGCGTGACGGCGACGCAACGCGACGTGGTTTATGTGTATGCACGCAGTGGGGCAACTCCCCATTTGTAAGCACGTGTGGTTTACGCCAGGAACATGTCCAGTTACACTGCCACAGAACTAATTTAATGTTACAATGCTCGGCACCCTTTCGGCAAACAAGACCCGACAGGTAGGCGGTTCGCCCCTGCTTAAGAAATTGATTGCTACTAGCGCAAGGCCTCGTGATAGCTTAAAACTGAGGCTCACCAATGTAAAATTTTGAAGTAAAGGCCCAACCCCACGCCGCGATACGATGCAACCTTGTCATCGCTGCTTCCGATGTGCAGGCCCTCGGCCTTTAGCCCTGCGTTCTCTTCACGGGCAGCCTGCACACACACATAGGGTGCAACTTAAAAGATCAATCCTATCATATTGATGAGTACAGTCGAAAATTTTTATCCTGGCGTGCCAATGAATATGAATGGTCGCGCGACAGTACTGACCTCTTTGGCTGCGTCGACGAGAGAGCGTCTTGCTGCAACGGTATCGAGTCGTGCTGGGCGATACTTATCAAACCCCCTTTTGTCTTTCGGTGAACTCTCCTCCTGCCACAGGTTTTGGGCCGTGGGTGCCATTATGATACTCGCAAGCCCATAACAAACACATCGCCGACCCAGGTGAGGATCATCAAGTCACATGCTTACCATCTTTTAACCCAGGGCTTTTGTCTCCGCAAACTGCCTGGTCAACGAGGCTTCAATGTGCAGCCAGTAGCGACCTCAGACAAGTTCGTAAGCTAACATCGACAAAATTTTCATTTTTACGTTGTGAGTATCTTAGATTGTACCGGGGTGAACACACAAGGGATCAAGCGTTCTGGGGCTGAGGTCCAGTGACCCTCGTCGTACAACACATTTGTAAAGACTACAGATAACTACTACTGGCGTGCCAAAATACGAACCATAAGATAATTTATTTAAGCATCTATAATCTGTCCAAACGTGTTTCTGAGCAGAACTAAAGAAGTTCCATGCCCACAGTGAAGCAGCGAATCGCCAGCTTTAAGTAGTACCCAGAGCAGATAGCAAGAAGACAACAGTTCGTCAGTAACGACGAAATAGTCAGCGTATCTACGCGTCTGAAAAGGTGATCAGCCGACGACCGGGACTCCCGACGACTCGTCCGGAAGGTAACGGACATTCAGTTACAGGTGGCCTAGGTAGTCAGTAGCTCCGTACCTCTTTCGCTCATTTGAACACCTGTTATGTTAACGTGGTTCTTATGTTTTGTTAATGTCTCGTTATGTTAAGGCTAATTTATCTTGATCTTCCTTCCCAGTCAGGTGCGGTTCTTGAGCCTCCAGGTTCGTCTGAACCGTACGAGCTCGCTAAAGCTTGTAAATCAGCATCAGCATCAACCCCTCAGGCGTACCGAAGTATTTGGTGTCGTAAATGACCGTCCCGGCCCCTAGTATATATCTGCACGTTGAAACAAGGGACAAGGAACTGCATACGCCTGTATAAACCACGCTGGCATATCACAACCAAGATTATTGTTGAAATCTGGCTGTAATAGCTTCAGCCTATGCGAACGTGACAATGTGTGCATGAGGCGAGCAGCGGCGCACCGTGCTAACTCCAGGCCAAACTCTTCAGGAGACATCCTTGTTTCCTCTAAACATCCTGTGGCTTGAGGGGTATCTTCCCAGCGACAACGCGACCTTTCTCTTGCACCAAAACCTACGCTGAGTGGGTGTCTGTACTTCTGAGGCACAACAGGCGGTCAAGGCTTAGACATCGTGTCCAGGATCATCCCGCGCCCATTCTTACATGCTCTCCTGCTAAGTCTTACGACCGCAAAACCGAGGGGTTGGGCAGGCACAGGTGCTGCTGCAGCCCGTCGCCGTATGTGATGATGGTTTGGACGGGTTTAGAGCGCGCGGCAAGGGTGCCTTACGAACCATCATATTACCTGCTTCCTCCAATAACACCATAGTAGCTACTCAACAATATCATGCAGCCCTTCGCTGTAGCACGCGAGAAAAACTTAGGTTCCCTTTCTGCGCGTTCTAAGCCCAGCCCAATCCCACCATCACATACCGCATTGTATGGTGGCAAGCCCCTGTAGCCAGGTAATCGAAACGGAATAGTGTCATTAAAGCGTCCTGCGAGAGGTGATGCGCAGCCTTCCCCAATTGAATGGTCTTCTCCCAATATAAGCGAGAAACGGCAAGAAAACGTTCTTCTCCGAAGACACGCGCAGTGTGACCTGCTGACTGGGCACGACGAAGATCGTCGACTCGCAACTTCACATCGTTGTCTAGCACCTCTGCAAATACGGTACATATGCGCAGCTACTGTAAACCTGAATAACAAAAGATATGCTGTTGCCAGGACATGGCAGGCGAAGGATAATCTAATTAAAAAGAACAAGCGAAAGCGCGAGACCCCTGCAACGCCCTCATGCACGTGCAAAAACATACAGCTGAATTGAGTGTAGAGCAACAACAGTGTCTGGGACGTCAAAGCTGACACGCTCCATGCACGCCCTTCCTTTTTCGCCGTTGAAGCCGAAATACCACGCGGTACCTTAAGCAGTACGGCAACAAGTTAAGCACTTCAAGGAAGGACTGAGCGCGCTGCCATAGAGAGAGAACAGCCATGCCGCGCCACCATTGTCCGACCGGATGCCCGTGCAGAGTACTACCTCCAAAATCCTGAATAGCATACATGTAATACACGCCGTACATGACTACCAGAACGCAAATTGATACTGCTAATGACTTTTTTCGAGCCCCCTAGTGTCAAGGACCTATACAAATGCTCTCCGAGGTCAAGAGCGAAACGTAGCCAAGCCCCCTTTGGACGGCGCCGGGGGCCCCAGAACCTTAGGGACCCTAAGTGGCCGGCCTTCCCACACCCACGTAACAACAGCGAAGCTGCCACAAAGGAACGAAGAACGGGGCCCCTATTCCCCATACTATCCAGCCTTCCAAGCGTACATCAATGAACGCGTGCGCCAGTGAACTCCGTACGGCGCGTGTGGCGCACGAAGCGCGGGGGAAGATATGCGCGGGTGCATAGCTCTGAAAGTGACTAGGCAGAATGGATGGGGACTCTTGACTCAAACGCCGCACGCGCACATCTATACCCTTCAACCAATAAGTACCAGACGAGTAGCAACCCTGCCACCCACCCACCCACCACTCTTATCAATCCTCCTCCAAAATAAGAGGAATACACTCGGACTAACCCTTGGTGGTGAGGCACCCACCCCTCAAAACATCTATCAGCCGTACTAGCTGGGATCATTCCATGCCGTTGCTGCTGTGGTTGCACCGGCGGGTCAATTAAGCACCGCCGGAAGCCACGGATAACCTGTGTCCATCGTGCTTGCTAGCAGGCCTTAGGCATGCGCGGTAATGCCAATGCCAGTACTGTACCGTAACCAGGCATAAATATCAACCGCCACACCAGCCAGGACCATTCATCATAGGGACCTTGCGAAGGGTGCCTTGCCGCATTGCCCTTGCACCATTCAAGTTATGCAAAACCTTTCTTGAAGCCCTCTCTTGGGCGATCCAACGAAATGTACCTTGCTTCAGCAGCGATAGGGTTTGTTAGCGCTTCGCACCCGCTCATTACGCGAATTGATCGACCGCGGACAGGACATCCTCTAACTGGAAGCGGTCTTTGCCGTCAACCGCTTACCAAAGCGACCGAAGTTACGGAAAATCCTGTGATAAATGCAATTGAAGCTTGACTGATGGGATGGAGGTACGCGCGACCGACCCATGGCAATAAACCACGCGTAATTCAGGACTTTCATAATGTCCATTCAAGCTTCAGAGATGACATAAGGTGGGATGGATCGGGTTCACCGCTGGCCCAGAGACCTCCTGACAGTAGATAATGTCAGACCCCAACCACGAGTGCTACGACCACTTTAAAACTTTATGCAAACCGGGGAGGCCAACAGCGCAAAACCCAGGCACGGGTCGGCCCCGTCTGCTGCTATACATCTTGGGAACAGGACACCCATAATGACTATATATACCACAAAACCGCTAGCCCCAACCCGTGAACAAAACCCAAAGTCCACCATACGCTAAGAATCCAAAAGAGTGCTGATCCCAATCGTGTGTTCAAACTATGCACAACCGTGGTAAAGCTCATCCTGTCGTCCAAAAACGAACCCAAACCCTCTCAACTCCGCTCTACCCCATCCAGCCCAGGTCAGCCGAGTACACCTGCAACTACAGGAGGGTTGATAGCGTGCCACCTACGGGGCCACCGGCGCGGTGCAGTGGCAGCCGTGCAGTCCGTCCCAGCATGTGTGCGGCAGCGGTACATACAATTTGGTTGGTGCAGCCATCATGCAATTGTCGTCCGCAAAATTGCTAACATTTACATCCGCACCACCATGCGATAGGGACAAGGCAGCCTAGAGCAGGACGCCATAGATTACCATGGGTCTGCTGTTCCTCGTCGCACCTTCCTTGCCCACCTCGCAAAGATATACACATACTAACGTAAACGCCTACCATAACAGAAACACACTTACGTACAGCTCAGTTTCATATCACGCACAAATAGGACACAAGACGAAACCACACGCGCTAATGCTTAACCTGTATCCAGCTCCACACGACCGCCGTAACTGTATCTTGCTCAGGTCGCGACGGGCCACATAATCGGTCAGTCTCAAACTGTAATTTCGGGTGCCTGGTGTAGTGTCTTGTATGTATCGAAGGGGTCGGGAAGAGGTACGGCTTATGTGCATGAAAAGGCCTAAGACCGAAAGGAAAAGCAACAGTGATGACAATTCCAACGACGAGGACTGCAACAAACACGGAAGCAATGGCAAAAAGCTCTATCTATGCACGGCGGCGTGGCGCGGATAGTTCTCTGCGCCGGCAGGTCCGGGGGACGATACACACGTGCCCGAGCTTCATGCGCTGGCTGTAAGCCGTTGCTGTGAGCGCACGCGCACCAGGCCGAGCGACACTAACTCCCTACTAGTATTTCTCTGGGTCATAACTCCGAGGCGCAAACATGAGCAACGCGACTATTGCCGGTGCTGCAACTACTACAACCAGTAAGTGCCACTGTAGTATCCAGTACTAATCTTAATCGCAGCTCGAAGGGGCACAACAAAGGCAGAAAGGAGAGCGGCGGAAAGACCCCTGTGGAAGATCTGGATGAACAGAGTAGCTACCTCCCCGAAAACCGGTGCCTCAGAGACGGGCTATGATTGCAGTCATCAGAGCAGAGCAAATGCAAACAGTGTAAACAAAGACCGATGGCGACGAACATAGGGACGATTGATCGTGACTACAACGCACTCAGGTCGGAAGGTAACCCTTTGCCACACACCCCGCGTGAGAGCAAAGCGGAAAAGTAGGTAAGAGCCGCACGATGATGATCCTTCTCGGAAAACGTTTTGGCACAGAGCTAGCTTCAGGACTTTGGCAACAGCCATTACGTGCCCCCTACATTTCCACAACAACTGACAACAGTATCGTGGGCGCTCCGTGCACTGCGGCATGAGCAGACTGGACAAGGTTGCCGGACAGGATGACGCAGGCGTTTCGCTGCTGTTCCAAGGTAACGGAAATTGTTCCTGTCTTTTCATCGTGCGCTCACAGTGTAAATCCGGGCCGGCCAAACCACCATTACCAAGCGTAACGAATGAAAGGTGGTACAGTCACAGAATGTATCAACGACTGCGTGGCGCCTCGGCATGACAGCCACTTCGCAAGGCATGAGCAAACATTCACTCGATACACCGGCAGCAGGCACCGCGTGCTGGCTAATTGCTGCCCTTGCAAACATTCACGCCCGCATACTGCTCACAGACCGCCAATTCACATTCTACGCGAACCATACATCGCCAGACATCAGAAGACCCTGGACCCATCCGAAAACCACGCAAGGAAAAGCTACCGCAATAAGCAGCCCCTTGAACGCGTGCAGGGCATATGGGCAAGAACACAGGATGGCCCTATGGAGGCTATTGTTGCGAATGACTGCTGTGGCTAAGCTGCGCTCTGCGCCCTGCTATACCCGCAGTGATGTGCTACAACATTGAGTCCATGGGACCCGTATGCGCGAGGCCCAGACATGTTCCTACTTTCGCATGCTCCTGTAGAGTCGCGCCTCCCAGCTTTTCCACTCCCAATGCTCCTTTAAATGCCATGCAACGCGACGCGCTACACGACACATTGCACCGTGGAGGACAACGCATATAAAAGCCAACTACAACTCCAATCCATGCCAACCCAGGATGAATTCATACAAAGGTTGCCGCGGAGGGCCCCGCTATGGAAAGCTATAGGAGAGCCGCGGCCAAGTTCAGTCGCTAGTATAAGTCGGACAAACCATGCAACTCCTGGCGTCACTCCCACTCAGATGGGCTCCTCTTAATCCGCCGCTGGCGCCGCCGTGAAAGCCCCATGCCACCAGTCTCTCGCTTACTCATGTGGACGCAGCAGTCGTTCTCACTGTTATCTATAATCGCCAACATGCTGTCGCAACGCCCAAGCGGCTCTAGTCCAAGCACATGCCCCCGGCAGGCCTCGCCCCACTCCTGTCGGCACATACCCCCGGCAGCCCCCTTCCCCCTTTGCCAGCAAGCCTTCACGTAAAGAAGCTCGTAGGATTTGCCCGAACTTCAAACAATGGCTATGAGACAATAGCTATGCGATGTAAACTATATGCGGACTCGCTCATAGACACTGCCTCTCCAAAAACGTGCACAGCCAAGAACAACACCGCCTCCGCAAGATATACAACGCAATTGCCACTTTGTCCACTCCTAATGCAGCATAGAAGGGTAGCGTAGCATCTGGCTCACATGGCCATGTCCTGTCGTCGCCGTTGCCGTGGATCCGTTGGTTCCGGCCACTGCGGTAGCGACGCCACCAGGCACCAGGATCCCTGGCATCAGCCGCCGAGCAGCCGCCAGGACTGCCGCGATGCTGTCCACATCGCTATCCAACACCGCATGGGCCTCGGGCGATTCCCGGGAGCTCGCCGCGGTAAAGCACCGCTGCTCCAATGCCGAAGCCAAAGTGGCAAGGTGTGCGTGCAGCCGCGCGTCCTCTTTGTGTGCTTCCTTACCTTCTAGGTTAGACATTCCAGAGAAGGAGGCCGCAGCGATGGCATCGGCAGTGTACAGAGGCAGTGCTGCCGCAACCGGGGACGGTGTTGGTGGCGGTCGTGGCGTTGGAGGGTACGACGCGCAGCGGAGCGCAGACAAAGACTCCTGGGAGGTGCTGGCCGCACAGCCTAAAGGGCTGACGTGGCCGGTGTTGGCGCCAGCGCCGGCGCTGCTGGTGGTCGTGGATGAGGAAATGCTATTACTACTGCCTCCGTTTGAGCCGCAACTGCTGCTGCTACGTGGTCCAGTGCTGAAAGACAGGCCTCCGAACGTGGCAGTGCTGGCGGAAACGGCAATAGAGTTTGGCGGAGTCATGGTCACCGGCGACGTTGGAATCGCGCAGCCGACATTTCGAGCGGCGGGGTTGCTTGGCCTTACCGACCAGTTAATGGCACTAATGACGTCCAGGGTGGGGTCACCGGTGGCAGCAGTTGCAACAATAGGGCTCTGAGGTAGCCGTTGCGCAAAGGGGTTCGTTGTCAGCGCGTTATCAGGTCCAGGCATCATTGCAAGCTCGGGGGCATGGCCATGTGAAGTCGGTGTCGTTGCAGTCGCCGGATCGACTGACGTCGAAAGCCTATCCGCCGGCGCCACAACAGCAACGCCCTGAAGCATTGACGCAACGCTCTCGGGCCAGCGAACCGCCTCCCCTGTGTTGCGAAGGGCGCCAACCCGGGGGCCATGCGCCTTGTCGTTGGTCATGGCGCTGTCGCTAGCAGTGTGCATGTCGGCAGTAGCACCCGTTAACATGCCTGGCCAGCCAGTCATGTTGCCGCCACCACGGTTACCGTTGTTGGTCTGTGCCGCCTGGGCAACGAGCAGCCGGAGCGCCGATAGACCCAACTCAGTCGACTCTCGAGGCAGGGTAGCCCAAACCGATGGGTCTAGGACGGTGGAGAGGGGCCGTGGCGTGATGGTAGCAGAGGTTGACGCGTTCAGCTCGGCAGTGATTGTGGTTGAGGTGGTTGCTCCCGATGCACAGCAGGCCAGCGGCAGCACCTGAAGGGCTTCGCCACCGGTACCGCTGAGACGCCCTTCACGGAGGTACACAGCACCACCGGCAGCTGTGCCGGTGATGGTGTTAACGGGGTGTAGTGATGGAGAGCAGCCCTGTGGGGTTGACGCCTCCAAAACCCCCGCCACCGCCGCTGCCGCATCCCTTAACTGTCGTTGTTGCTGCTGCAGGTGTTGAAGTTGCTGTTGATGTCGCTGCTGCTGGAGCAGCAGCTGCTGTTGCTGTTGCTGGAGATGCTGTTGCTGTTGCTGGAGATGCTGATGCAGCTGTAAGTGATGCAATTGCTGCTGCTGATGAGACTCCTCATGACGCAGAATGACACCGTCAGGGCTCCTTGGCTGATAGACTTCGTAGCCCAAACCCGTCGGCTGTGGAGAGCCCAGGACCGGACGCCGGGGTGGCGGTGGCGGAGGCGGAGGCGTTGCAATGCTGTGGTAGACAGCATAAGGTGACTGCGCTGCCACGACTCCTGACGGGTTGGTTCCCGTGTAACCACTGGCATATACTGTCATCACCGTCGTGTGCCCGGCGGTGGCAGCTGCGCGATCCACGCCTCCTGCAGCCGACCCGCCAGCGACATTGCCACCGCGCCAAACGCCGCTGCCACAGCTACTGCCATCTACTCCAGGAGGCTTAGGTGAGCGTGGCGGATGGCCCGAGCCGCCACCACCACCAACACGACGGCCTCCGGGGCTTATCGCTGAGATGGTGCCAGGAGTGCCTGGCGAAAGGGGTGGCACCGCGCCTGGAGATATGACGGGGTGACAAGGGGGCGCTGGTGGCCCAGCACTCCGCAAAATCTCAGGGCTGGCACCCAAAGCAAGTGGCTCTAGTGATCCGGTGGCAGCGCTAGCCTGGTTTGGCATTGGCGCCCGATACACGTGGCCCAGATCCTCCCGTGGATGTACGGCGACTTGCAGCATCCCAGCCGTGCGAAGCAATCTGCGACGGGTGGCAGTCGTCGTCGTTGTGCCCTTGCCGGCGGCAGCATCACTGGTGCCGCCACTCGACGTCATTGCCATTGACGCCGCCGTAGCCTTAGCATTTGCATGCTGCTGCTGCAGAATGCTCTCCTGAACTTCTGCGATGTGGGCAGCTGAAGCGCAGGGACTCTGGGGTGGAGCGTTGGCATCGTTGCTGTTCGAGGCATTTGGTGACAACGGGACGCCGGGTGATTTCAAGCCGCCGTCAGTTCCCTTGCCTCCTGCGCCGTGCCGTGAGCGGACTACGGAAATAGTGGAAGCTTTAGCAACAGCTGCTGCCGCTGCTGCTGCCGCTGCTGCCGCAGCCATCTGGGTCAGCTCGTCCGCAGCCTCGTCATGCGGCTCAGAGCCAGCCCCGCCGTCACCGCCGCTTCCAACGCCGTCTTCTGCTTCCGCCACCCCGCCTTCATCCATATCACCGATGCCATCAGCTCCATCAGCGCGGTGTGCCTTGGACGCCGCCGATCGGCCGCAATTGGTGTGGCCGTCGCGTGAGATATCCGCAGCATCTTTAATTTGAGGGCGCGTAACGATGATGCGAACCGGCAAAGTAGACGGAGGCAGCAATGCAGCCGCTACGGCAGCGGTAGCTCGCATGAGGTCGCCCTCGCCTGCCAGGTCGACCAAGACCTCTTGGTCAGCTCCTGCTGATGCCACACTGCCACCAAAGCCCCTGTTGCGGCGCTGGGAGGTCCGCTGTGTCTGGGCTTGGACGGCCGGTGTTGCCGTGGCTATGTCGACAGAAGCACTGTTGGACTCGTTATCATGCGAAGACGTTGGCTCGGTGCCCGGGCTTGGCCCGTCTGCGGCGGGAAGTTGTGCTATATCACAACCTGGCGTGGGTGGGGAGGCGCAAGCTGCTGCCGTCCTGGCGGTTTGAGAAGCGGCTGCGCGACGACTCCTGCGACGGTTCCCTCCGTTCCGGACGTTTGCTGGCCCAGGAGCGGGGACCTCGGTCGCGGGCTCGGCGCACACAGTGCTGCAACTGGAGCTACGGCTTTTGGGTACTTCATTATCGCCGACACCGTTATCGCTGCCGCCTATGATACAGCTATGGTCTAAGCTGCTACTAAAAACTAGCTGCATGCGGCTGTTGCACCGCTCCTCAGCCCCTTCCCGCGGAGGCAAGTCGCCGTTCTCATCAGCCATGGACAGATATTGCTTGTCAGAAATGTAAAGCGGCCCGATGAAAGCAGCACCAAGACTGTTAATGATGTAGAACTGCTGGTTTAGGGCTGAAAATCAGGGCAAGTCCGCGAAGAGAAACAAGCGGAGGACGTAAGCGCCGCTGCCGCGGCTGAGGTAGAGCAACTGATGCATAGAAGGTGTCCAGAGAGAGCTCAACTCGTCCTTGAAGGCCGGTTCAGCTCATCGGCGGCGCCCTGCAGGCATGTTGGGTGTCATGGAGCGAAGAGCGACAGACAAACTGCTGGAAGCTGTGCTCCTTGAGCGCATGCCGAGCCTAAGGTGTCATCAGTCGCATGCAAAAGGGCGAGGCTATCGCCTTTAGCCAGCCTTCTTCCATAATGCAGTTAGGTGAAGCCGCGGGGGCAAAACCTACCTTACAGCTGAAGCCATGGAGCTTTTTCAGCAGCTAGACCAATATCATATCAAGCTTCACCATCACCATACAAGGTGTGCTGCTTGCAGGGAAACGCTCTGCCCAGCCGTGTGTGCCCCGCAGCAACCAGTGCTTGCTACATATTAGGGTTACGGAGCAAAACGCCTCTTTGTTAGCTCCTCAGCACGTGCTACGCATCCTCAGCAGCCGCAGGTTCGCGCCTCTGCGAGTGCCAGATACGTTATCAAAAGGATGGCAAAGATAAGTCCACAATACTAAAAGACTGACTTTACAGCATCATTAGAAACTATTGCAGTGTTGGGAAATCCTGGGGTTTGTGCATGGGATGCTCTGGACATCCGTGGGCCTTTTGCAGCCGCGTGGCCTCGGTTGCAAAGGATGCAGCAGCGAACGTCCTTGTGACCATCCTTAGATATCTTGCTTACGTTGGTTTTCTTCTTCGTTGCACTTTGGATGCTTGGGTGAACTAGCGGAGAGACCATAAGTCGACGTCGAAGCTGTGTTTCGTTGCTAATGCTCCCAGCGCTGCAAGACCGGCTATATCATATAGTAGTCCTTAGTGCCTATACTTTACATCGGCACTGAGGTGTGCAGGCTTTTGTTTTCTGAATAAGCGCTGTACGTACGGCTGTGGGCGCCCGAAAGCCGCAGGAAGGCGGCCTTCTGGCTTGCAACCATGCAAGGACAAGAAGTGTTACGGTCCATGTTTGGCCCTTACCACTATTCGTTTTGGATTCCGCCACACCTGGTACCCTAGTCCAGCCGCGGGGTGGGCTTTGCAACCCCCAAACGCACGCCCTTCAGGAACACCTCAATCGCATAACGGTGCTCCCGACATGTTGTGTCCATGGGGACATGCATTTATCCGCTCATTTCTTGTACAGATCAACGCAGTTGAGCTTAGTTTACTGAGATCGACAGCTGCTCTTGTGGGCCGCCCTCCGCGGCATAAGGCCTGCAGTTCCTTTCCTCTTCGGGCTACAGGCCATTTTGTCCAGGACACCACCATTTGGTCCTGAACTTACCTACCTTTCTCAATTTTCATAGCTTCTGGGATTACACGACTGCTTCAGAAATACAGCATGAGGGTGTCAACCGCGGTGGGGGCTATCCCACGTAAGCTTACTTCGCTGCTGCCCTCCGAGACATTCTACGCTTTGGAATCGCACCCATGCATCCCAGGGATCGCTTGTCTGCTGATTGTGCCAGGAAATTCAACCACCCTAATCATTTTGCTCCTTAAAATACCTCCCTACTTTTATCTCACGCCAAACAGTGATGCGACGCCTGGTTCTGCTCGGTATGGCTAACTTAAACGCTACTGTCTAGGTTTGGGATGCCTGGCAGAGAACGGTGCGTAACAGTCCGCATTGATTGTTTTCATGCTGTATCCCCTGCATTTGCATGCAGACTCGGCCAGTGTTGTTGCCGCCCGGCACCTGCGGCTTTGCATGTACTAGTGTTGAAGCGTCGCGCTTTCGGAGGCAACGAAGGGAGAGACACCGGCCCAAAGTGCGCTCGGATCGGGCTTTACCCCATGCAATGCTGGAATTTGCACGGCATGACATGGCCCCTGGCTGCATGGAGCAAGAGAAATCCAAGTAATAATGTTTGCGTGGGCCAACCATGGGAGGTATAATCGTTAGCACCCATTTACGAGACACTATCCGGTGGTTTGAGGTCAAAAAAATCCATGGCGGACCATGGCGACTTCAAAGGTTCACTTCTTAGACCCTCTCAGACGTCTCAAGCTACCTGGGCCCCGGCCCGGTGTCCTCGGAGCTTTACTTCTGATCAGTTCAATGACATGCGTTGGAAGACGTATGGATATACGTACTGTCTCGTAGCCGTCGCTCCGTTTCACACAAGTGCATATAGGTTGATGGCATATATTGTGATGGAAGCTCCAACTGTTCTAACGGTCGTCCACTTGTCCACGGCGCCAACAATGTTGTAAAATGAGCATTATGGTGCAGAACGTGCAGAATGGTTATAATGCCCTGTTTTTCTGGAACTCCCCGTGGGTTGAGGTGCAGTGAGGTTTCCTGCTTAAGGTGGGATTCCTTCTTTGCCGCAACCCATAAGATGCAAGTCATGGGGCCTCGAGACCAATGTGTTCTTGACCCTGTAACTTGGCCACCTTAGCCAGGTTCAGCTCGATCCGCATTTCATGGTTGCATTTGTGTTTGGAGATTTGTTTCACGTCTTCCCTCCTGACCTTAAGCTTTGGTTATAACGAATTTGCTATCCCAGCTAGTATTACTTGATGACGCAGTCGTCCAGGCTCGTCTGGGCCTTACGAACACTTGCGAGCTTCTAAACGCAAGACAGTTTTCGTGACACCAACGGCATGAGAGTGACTAGGTATATACAACGTCCACTTTAAATCAATATTCTATTGACTGCGCAAGTTCCTTTTTTCAAATGTCTGCCGACGCGGGTGAAGACGAGGCTGTATTAGATGTCAAAGTTCCTACAAGAAGACGTCGTGCAAGTGATGATGAAGCAGATGAGGTGGAGTTTCATGATGCCACCGAGTGTGCGGCTTCCGTAGCCGACAGTCAAGCGGTGGACCGGGAAGACCAAGTCGTGGATGAATCCCGCAGCGTAGATGGTTATGAGAATGGTAGCACCCCGGGACTTGAAGGTGCAGGTAGGGTAGTTCTCTGCGTTCAGAGTGCACCGCGGTGCGCAACGTTGCTTTCGTATTTCCTGCCGATGGGCATGGGCTAGCCAGGTTGTCTTTAGTGATTTTAAAAAACTGGCGGCTCGACCGGAACGCTGATGCCGCAGCTATGAGATCTCGTTGCATTCTCGCAGGCGACGAAGAAGTCGTAGGGACGGAGGAGCCATCCAGCGAACAGGATCAAACTGAACAAGTCTTAGCAGACCAGAAGAAGGCTAAGTTACGGGAGCCGTTCGAAGTGCCGACGTCGGGCGCCTTCTGGCTGCACGATGACCGGTTTGGTGGCGACGAGCCGCAAACTGAGGCCCCCAGGTGTGCTTCGGCAGCACACAAGTATGGACATGACTTGTATACCCATAAGACATGTGCGTTCATGCGCGTAGCTGTCTCTTACCCTGCACATGCCACCCTGCGCATACCTCCCAGGCCACGTGTCACGCTGGCTGCCCACATCTGCAACCGGCATGCGACTCTTGGTTGAAAGCGTACTACCCATCTATTGGAAGTGCACAAGTATGCAAGTATGTAATGCAAACGTGCAAGGCCTGTAACACCATGGTCTGCATAACACGGGGCCTTACGTCTCTATCGGAGTGAATCCGCTGGACACCACACTCCACTTACATCCCGATTCGATCCCTTCCATCCTTCCAACACCTTAGGCCCAGCGGCGCAGTGGAGCGCAAAGCGAGGAGCGATACAGAGGGCCGGTGGCTGCACGACAAGTTCGGCACCCTGGAGCTGGGCGAAGCTGCAGATGACGACGACACCGAAAATGCCTTTGTGAGTAGTATCCCCGGGGGCGGTGGCTGCAGACGCGGAACCGCCATCGGTCGGTCGCATGTCGAATTGGGTCGCATTCATAGGCCACCGGAGGATGAAAACATTTTACTGCGTACGTAAGTATGTCACGACGTCAAATCCTTCGTCACCGCCCGGCAATCTGTCGGGCCTCAGTGGATAAGTGTCCTGTACTTGCTGGATTACGATGGTGGCTCGCATGCAGAGCTGCTTTGCATGCGAGCCAGGGCCCGTGATAGTATTCCTGTTAGTCCAATTGCCAAACCCGCATCGCCGCGCAGTCGAACTATCGGCGGGGAAGAGGGCGGGGCATCCGCAGCGGTGGTGTTGGTGGCGGCAGCCACGGCGGCGGCGTTGGTGGCGGCGGGCGGGGCTCCAATCTCACAGCTGGCGGCCGAGGCCGCGGTGTAGGTCGGGGCCGCGGCGGTCGCTACGTCAACAGCACCAATGATTCGTCCGAGCCCGTTGATGCCGGGATACCAGCCCTCGGCCTGCATGACACACAAGAGGCGCTGCCACAGCGCCAATTGCGGGCGCCGCGCTCCACCGCACGCAGCCCTGCAGTTTCATTACCATTCCCGCTTGCAGAGGACCCAGGCGTGGCAGGCAATTATACCGCTGCCACCTTAGGCTCGGGACGGGGTCGTGGGGGTCCTCCCGGTGTTCGAGGCGGCAGCCGCAGCGGGGAGCCTACAGGCCGCGGCCGTGGCGAGCGCAGCCGGTCCCTGGAGCCTCCAGCAGCGCCTCGGGACAACGGATTCGGCTCAGAGACCGGGAGTGGTCGTGGCCGGGGCCTCGCTGGGCGGGGTCGGGGTCGGGAGGGGGCCAGCCGGGACGACGGCGTGCTGGGCCGAGGCGGCTACGGCCGAGGCGTAGGGCGGGGGTACGCGGGGCGAGGAACGGACGCTGCTCCGGAGAGCAATGGCGGGATCGGGGCACATGAGGGCGGCCGCGGCAGGGGCCGTTCAGCTGGCAGGTGCGCTGGGGCTTGGCGTGGGCGGAGGGTGCGCCGGCAGGGAACGAGCTGTATTAGCGTCCAGCCGCCTGTTGGGGTTCAGAGGTGGCTTGGGGCCGCTGTCTACCGGAAGATACGCGAATCCAGTAAGGCGCTGTCGTCTTGCGGCGGCTCCGGGTTGTATAGAATGTCTGCTTGTTTTTGATATGCAAAGTTCGCTCTCATTTGCCGTCAGTCAATCGCGATTGATACATACCAAGAAAGACGCACCACGCCGCTGTGTGGGTCGCTCTGCCGATTGTGGCTCCTGCGCGTTATTTGTGGGGGCACAGCTCATTATACGCCGAAGAGCTGTTTCTATGTCAGATTGTTGGGGGAAAAGTCCTTCCGACCGATCACTGTCTGTTCATGTACTCGGTGCCCATATCCTGCAGCGTTCCTCCCTTAGCACCTCTGCATATCGCGACACCTGCCGTCCTTCTCTCATCGCCTGGCTGCAGGTCAGCTGGTGATTACCAGGGACGCGGATCTGGACTTGAGCGCGGTTTTGGCGCAGGGCGCGGATTGCCGCCCGGACAACAACAGCCGTATCGCAAAGCAGACCGTGTGGTGGATGAAGAGTTTCCGCCCCTGCCCAGCAGCGGCCCGCCAAGGCAGTCCGTTGCGGCCACCTTGCAGGGCGCCGACATGCCACCTGGCGTCAGCATTGGCGGCCACGCTGCCGCCGCCACGGCGTCGGCGGTGGACGCAGCGGCGCCGGCTACGCAAGGCGTCAGGCGGTACAGCAGGATGGCTGGGAAGGTTGGCGGTGGCCCCGGTGGTGCTGGCGATGCAAATGCTGGGTTCGGGGTTGGTGGCGCAGCAGCAGCAGGAGGGTCGGGGGCGACGGCGGCAGGGCCCGAGAACGGGCATGCACGAGGAGGAGCGGGTGAAGGCGGTGCTCCCGCACGGACCAGTAAGTTGTCCGCCGCAGCGCCGACCTTCGAGCCCTCGCCTGCCGCAGCAGCGGCAGCTGGGCACGCGGGCCGGCAGCCGCAGCAGGCTCAACAGGCGCCTCCGCACCCGCAGCAGCAGCCCGTTCCGTCTGTACCTATGGCCTTTGGTGCCCCGCTGCAGCCCATGACTGTCGTTGCAACGGGCCCGCCCGTGCAGCCCATGGCCGGTATGGTATCGGAGCAGCAAGGTGGGGGCTTTACCCCGCAAACCGGCATGGCATACATGTACCAGCACCCACAGCAGCAGCACATGCAGCATCCACCCCAGCAGCACATGCAGCAGCAGCACATGGCACCGCCGCCAATGCCTCAGCAACAGCACACGCCGCCGCCGCCCCCACAGCAGCCCCAGCAGCAGCAGCAGCACACGCAGGCGCCGCCGCAGCAGGTCCCGACGGGAGGTTACATGGCTGGCTCCATGCAACAGCAGCAACACGCGCCGGTTAGCGGTGTCCCGCAACAGGGCGGCATGATGGGAGGCGGCGGAGGCTCGCCGATGGCTCAGACGCAGGGCAGCGGCACACCGTACGCGTTCATGGGCGCCATGATGTACGGAGCATCGCCGGCGGAGGTGGAAGCCTGGTACCAGGATGCATACCAGAAGGCCCTGGCGACGGGCATGGATCCGCAGCAGGCTTACAGTGCTGTGCAAGGGTACGTGCAAGGACTTAATATGGCCTATACGGTGATGGAGCAGCAGCGGCGCCAGCAGCAGCAAATGGGTGCAGGTGCCTATGGTGGTTCCGCGCAGCCACCGCCACAGATGCAGGTGCAGGCGCCACCTGCCGGGGTCGCGGCGTATGAAACCGCTGCGAAGGGTGGGTCGTAATGTTACGAATGATGCCCTCGTGAGTGCGTGCTCTGTACTTGTGACAGCTCAGCTTTGCGCATCTCAACGCCTGCTCGTGGAATGGACTCGTCAAAGGAATAGGGGGGAAAGGTCAGCGGGCAGCCATGGCGGTGGTGCGGAATGCCGCTCACGAGGTGCTTACAACGCTGGGTTCGAGGAAGCAGCAAGACGGGATCGGGATGTATGGAGTAGCGTGTGCCTATGATTTGTAGGTGGAAATGTTTCCCGTGTTGGACGGTCGGTCTAGCAGTTGGTTTCTAAAGGGAAGGCGGTCGTGTGCGCACACCGCACGTTGTTGAGACGAGTGGGATGCTTTTTAGGGCGGGCGTGTCGGACAAAGCGGGGTTGGGACTGGTCGTTTAGGATGCAGCGCCCGCGTGTGCCGCGGTATTGCTGATTGCGATGGTTGTGGGCTGACCTAACAGTTGAGAATGATGCATTCAGTGTCTTTGGTGGTAGGACAAGAGGTAAGGAAATGACAACTGGACCCGGATAAGTTCTCAGGTAATGGTAAATTTCGATGGTGGCGCGGTGCACGGTGCCTGCGTTCAGGTTGCCAACGCCTAAGGGGAGGGAGCTTTCTTGCGGCTTTTGGGGCCCAGTTGCAAAGGCCAAACTGCAGGACATGACGGCAATAACAGCATGATGTGTCTGGTGATGTGAGGGGATTGCATGCATGCAGCGGTCGAGAGCTATGCCGGTTCAGCAAAGCAGTTGCCTTTGGGTTGTTGTGGAGTACCAAACTCACCGCAAGACTGCTACCGCGCATTCGCCGTGTCTTTCTTCAAACTTTCAATCGGTTTCCCAGTTTCTGACGACAGCAGGAGTGAGGAGTGAGTAAGGACCGGTTAGGAAGGGATCTCCGTGCCGTTGCTGGTGCGGCGTGCGGTGTGCGCTCAAAGCTGAGGCGAGAGACCTAGAAACATGTTACGAGCTCGTTTACCGTACACATTAGGATAGTACGCATCAGGGACTGCGATTTCTAGGTGACACTCTGGCGTCTTTCTTCCCTAGCTTGTCGTTTTGCGGTCAAAGCTGCTGGTGCTGTTCCTGCTGCTGACGGGAAGGGGCCTCTCAGGAAGCTCTCAGGAAGACGGCCTGGAAAGCCAGGCCCTGCCTGGATTTGCCACCGGTGGGTGTCGATGCCAATGTGTAGCAGGCCGCTTAAGTTCCTGATAGAGGAACTTGAAAAGGACCTGCACTTCTCGTGCCTGGTCCGGCTTTCCCTCTTCTCCCTCCTGCAGCTCTTTGCCCACTCGCGCTGTCACCTAATGCACACACGGGAGAGGAACTAACCGAGTTGAGGGTAATACACGTGCTGCTCTCTCCGTCGTTACCTCGACGTCTCAATGATAAGTAGTCATGCATGTTGCGGATTTTGAGTAAGCGTAGAACATTTTGATGTCCCTGGAGTATGGTCGTATCGAGACAAGGGAACCCCTGGAAGCGGGTCAGCGTGTAGTCGGTGCTTCTGTCCGTTGGTGTACTTGTCTACGCGGTTTGGCGCCTAAGGCCGCATTACTGTTATTTCCACAAGATTAATGAATGACGTACTAGCGGAAATCAATTGCAGCGGTGTTGGGCGTTTGTGACGGGTGTGCGGGTGTGGGCGAGTGAACGAGTGGCCCTCCTGATGGTGCCCCGCCGGATTGCGAACTAGTCGCCACACCCTGCCTCGTGCTCCACCGCGCCGTGCTGCGCTATGAGTTACAAATGACAAATGTAGAAAAGCATAGGAGCTCGTGCACGTCACGTTAAGGTGCCCAATCACCACAAAACAAGCATACCATGTTTTTGTGTTTTCTTAATGGTGTGAGTAACTCGTCGTCGAGCTATCCTGGCTGGTCCTCTCGTTCTGGGTTTTGCTTACTCGGGCATCACTTTGGGTTGCACGTGGCTGGGGTGAGTTGCAATCGAGCTATTCTCGCACTCCTCCTCTTCATGCGCTTGAGGTTAGGTACGTGCTTGATTGCTTCCCACGGAAACTTCTTGACATACACACTGACACGGTTTCGCTTGCACGGCGCCTTACATCTCCGTGGGTGCGGCACATGAATATAGTCCAGGCGAAGCACAGGTGGTTGTTAAATTATGTTGCGTTGCACAAGTGAGGGGCTACTGCACCTGCGGGGGTACGTTTCATTGCGGCACGGCAATGCGCTTCCTTAGGACGCTGCATCATGCGATGTCTGCATCAGCCAGCTTCCGTTGTCATCGTCCGTGCCGACCTTGTGTTGGGGAGGGTTATGATCGCTGATCATACACATCGGTTTGGTCAGCTCTCAGCGGAAAGCTCTGCATTGCAGCTGTGCAGGGCTCTGGGAATGATGAGGATGATGATCATCATCATGATGGTGCCATGCGGTGCCACCGTGTGGTCTGTTGCGGCATGCAGCTGAGGGAGGGCGGAGCGGGCTCGAACCAGTGCTGTGAGGGTGTGCTTTCCCAGCAGGGCATTACCGCCTTGCAGACACGAATTTCGCCCCTAATGACGGTACAACTGCCGACGCGTGTAGACCTTAAAAGCCTGTTTTGGGGGAATTTTCACAGAGGACAGAACGTCATTTTAGAACGCTGCTTCAGCCGAAGGACGCGGTTGTTTGGGGTTGAACGGATGGATATCGTGAGGCTACATAGGTGCGAGCGCGTATGCGGAGCAGGCACTTTTAAGGGTTTGTGTCTTTTCCCTTAGAAAAGAGAAAGGATGGAAGCGGGGCGCTGGTGGCAGAGTCAGAATCCTGTGATACGCGAGGCGGCGCCGTTCATATTGAACTGCTGTTTTTAATTAGGCGATGACAAGGACAGCCGACAAGGTCCGATATGTGTGTGTGTGTGTGTGTCTCTGTACCATCCACTTGCTCTGTGAGCATGGAGCATTAGTATCCGGCTCGTCTGACCTAAAGGCAGGTTTCACACAAATGATTGGCCTCAGTGGAATCAGACGGAGGTATGGTGATGCCGGATGTTATAATACTTCAAGTTCTCCTTATCAGCAGCATACCCTAAAACTAGCAGCATAGCCTATCTCCACTTCCCCCATACCTTCCGGTACCTACTTATCATCAGCATTACCACTCCCCCAGCACGCAGCCACGGCGGCCCCATTGCCTCTGCCATAAACATGACCCCTCCCAAAGCAATCTGCAGCTCGGGGGCTTTCCTTTGTGCTAAAACTTCGTTAAGGAGAGGGGATTTCTACAACTCGCGCAATGACCCGGGCGTGGTCATGGTTTCCTAAACACGGACCAGATCCGCCCGGGGTTTCCATCACAAGCGCCGCGAACCGTGCACGGGAGCTATCGCCTTGACCAACCACACAGCCCGGGCAGTGAAACACATGAGAACTGCCCCGAGATGAGCAGTGCCGCTGTACCCTCGATCGTGGTGGGGTTCGAACCCACCGGATCAAAAATATGGACCATCTAATCCATATAGGGCCCATCCTTCGGCAACATTGCCATGTCCTTTACCACAATCCTGCTGCTCCTCTTGCTGCTGTTGCCGCTGCTGGCAGCCGCCTGCAAGTCATGAACCCCCATTGTTCACAATCACGCCAGACCCACCCTCCGACCTACCATCCCACCATCTAATCCCCAACCACCCACTTGCCTCACCCCCAGCAACATGTCCCTCCTGCGTCCCTAGGGCGGTGCAATACACCCCACCAAAACGACATGCCGGGTGACGGAACACACCATGGGGGGGGGAGAAATGGAGAGGGCCAAGAAGGGACACAGAAGGTAGTCAGTCGGATGACTAAGAAAACTGGACAACAAGCGCGCATGTCGTACACCTGGCGGCCAAGAATCACTTTAAGCATCCCAACACGCAAGATGCGGGCTGAGCTGTGTCAGTGCGGACGATATCGCTTTACGGCTGACATGGCTGAGACGAATTTGGGCTGAGGCACTTCGGAGTTTGCAGGTCGATGTTTGCTGGTCGCCTTTATGATGTGACATAAAGCCATGCCGACGTACGAAGGCATACGCACACACACACACGCGTACGCAAGCACACGTGGCATGTACGGATCCGCCATAACCCGCACTTACCTACCTCCACTGTGGTAAGGATCGTACACTCAGGGCCGCACAGGGCTGGAAACTGGTTTCAGATATCACGCACACCTTGACACAGCATTGCATTTGAACTCCTCGGTGACATTACTATCTGAACATGGCATACAAAAAACAGCACAAGGAACAACCATGTCTGGCTGACGGCAAGCATTGCTAACCTAGCTTTGCTAGGGCGGTTTCATACCTAGCTCCTTTCCCAAATGTTCTGCTCCGTTTAGCTGAATATGCTGCTGCTGCCGTTGCCAGCCGCCGGCTGAACATGGTTGCGCAAGTGCTGGCCTCCGAAACCCTTCAAAACCCTAATTGACACTTAACGCGTAAAGAGGGCGCGACGTCTTCACGACCCCCCCACCGCTCATCCAACCCCACGCACGCACTTACACCCAAAATTGCAAGGCATGCCCAGCCCCAGTCCGCTTGTAACATGGAGGTGCTTCTGGCATCCAGTGGGCGATACGCCTCACCCGGCCATCGTGGCCAAGTGAGGCGCGTCAAGGGAAAGAGCAGGGCCACATGTAACATGTAACACGTATGTGATGGATGTAATGCTGTAACCGCGACACACACGTATGTGATGGCTGAAGCCCTGGTGCTGCACACCACGTGCGACACACGCCGGGTGAGTACGTGGGGGACGGGACATGCGGGGGACCCGCTGGATAGGTAGGTTACCAATGTTTAGAGGGGCTCGCCTAATCGGATGCTATGCTTTCTGTGTCGTACCGTTTCTGTGTCGTATTGTGTTTTCGGTATTGTGTTTTCATTCCATGATCCGCGGCACTGTGCAGAGGTGGGTTCGACCAGGGGCTTGGATCCTGTACCAATCGTACAGCTCACAATTCGTCAATGGTTTTAGCGCACTTGTCCACCCAAGGCAAGGCTGGAATGCACAGGGACCTGTCTAGAAGCTGGCGCACTGGGCGCACTGATGAGACATAGAAATCGACGGTGGGGTGGAAGCTCAGAGGCGAAAGCGCTACACACCTCCAGCGCAGCATTAGTGGGTATGTCCATAACGAAACCAGGGAGAAGGGAAGTCGAAACCGGAACAGCGGAGACCTGTGCAGGGTTCATGCAACCCTGCTCATGGCTTCTAGCGATGAGGCATCAGGTGCGGCGCGATGATCCTAGGCCCTAAGGGCCTTAGATAGCTAAGGTAGCCAGTCGACGGAATAAGGAAGCCCGGAGCACGGCGGAACAAGAGCGACTGCAGTTTGCGGCAGAGACTTTGGGAAGCTTGCCGCCGCAGCATACCTCTTCGCCCATACCCCTTCAACTCAGTCAGTTAAAAACATTGGTGTATTCGGGAACATGGTTTCCTAGCTGAACGAGTTACACTTACGGTGCAGCCCGTGCGCTTCGTTTCCGGAAAGAAGGCTGGGGCAGAATTGGCCCGTATTCCGAATCGCAACCCCCGTGACGCGCTGCGTACCGCGGCTTCCAATGAAAAGCCATCATGCCTTAGTGCCCTTAAGCGAGGTAACAGCCGAAATCCAGCGGACGGAAAGACTCAATCTACGCCGTCCCCGTACACGTGGCCCTTGAGGTGGTACTCGTTCGTGCGAAGGCCGAACGGTGGTCATCCTACGAATGCGAGGCCGTCTACCGAGGCCATCCTACCAAGAGATCTCACCCGACCCGTTGAATTCTGGCCAATCGCCTCCTTATTATTGACTCTCTTATAGTGGCCTTGACTACAGTGGCCTTCGCGGCCTTGACTTCCTAGGTGTATAAACACCTCGTCAAGACAGCACCTCGGCGGGCTTTTCTCTAGCCGCTTGAGATCAGCACGGCAATTATTCTACGGAAGTCCCATCGAGATTCCAATGTGATGGGGGCATGGGGCGCAACCCTGACCTGCTCCTCCACGGTCCTGCACAAATATTCGTGGCCTTCAGGGTAAAAGCTACAGCCAGCGGTCCTGTAGACCAGTCCATGCTGTGTAGTGCTCTACCACCAACCCCGACAGCCCAGTCCGTCAGTAAACGATTAGGATGCACGGACTAAAGGCGCATGCACAAGCTACATCAGGTCGCAAGGGCCTAAGAAAGCCGCTCGTCCCAGCACAGCTGCACAGCTCGCGAGGAAACACGTCGCAGCAAGTAAAAATGTGGCCCTATCCAAGCATCCCACACGCCACAGCATGAGATCCTTCGCAGGCAATGCTGGATTCGCCCAAGGTGCCCAGACAGCTGCTCAGACATGATATGCATCAAGAGCCAGGCCCCCAGCGGCAAATTGCACCCTTCACATGACATCCTCCTGCCATACCACCAGATAACAGCCGTCAAGATGCGCATGGCAGGCGCCGTAACACGTGCATCCAAACCATGTGTCATATCCTCCCCAAGGCACCTGCGCATGGCGCCAGCGCCTTCCCTCAGTCAGGCCCGGGATGCAGCGCGCCAGAACCTCGCCACATTTCCCTAACGTAATGAAACCCCATCCCTAACTCCCATCTCTAGCGCAGCACCGACTTCCACAACACCACAGCCAACGGCACTGGATGCGCCCATACCGCTTCTTGCACATGAGGGGCTTAGGGAAATAAATCCGCCGACTTATGATCCAACCGTGAGGGGTTGTTTAAATCGGGGAAGAGGGAACACCGGCGCTGCAAGACGACGGGACGGATGCGCAGAGCGCACGGTGCCCTCCGGGACGCGGCGCAAGGACGGGAGGGCCCGGTAGATGGAGCGAGGTAAGGCAGCCGCGGGTGATTTAGCACACACAGCACCTGTCTCCTGACGAGAGGTGTGTCCCGAGCACTAGCATCGGAGCCCTCCACGGAACACACAAGCAGATCGTTCGCATCGCGAGTCCCCTGGGCCTGCTTCAACTTCGACCATGAAGCTCGCAACTAAAGTATCAGCATCATCATCTGCACCATCAGCACACCACCACCACCATCCACAGTACGATCACCAACATCATCGCCGCGTGCACCGCATCGATACACCCACAACCGCATGCCAACCTGGCAAAATGTATAGCAGCACAGAAAATAAAAGGCAAAGTGAGGTGAGGGCCGACATAGTCTTTGCCCGGGGCAATTACTGAGCAATGCCTAACCCCAAGCAGGAACTGCCCTATGAGGCACACAGGCCGCGGCCATTTCGCGTAAGGACCGATCGTAGCAGGGGATGCCGAATGGATGAAAAACGCTGCTCAAGCAGTAGGCTGAGCGCAGGATGCACCCTCGGGGGAGGCGTACAGAATGCGCTCAGCCGCCTGCCGGCCAGGCTAGGTTGCGGTCTGCCAGCACATCCGCTGGTTGGTATCTCCCCTTACAACACCTTTCCGAACCCCCCTCACAGTCCCCGCCACAACTGCGATTGCAATGCTAGCCACTACCTTCCGACTCCGATTGCAGTCCATTGAGCACGTCAGTCTCGTTAAAAATATGTTTGAATGCCGTACTGCCGCCGTCGGACCACGAAATGGGACATCGCACAAGCCGCGGCACCTAGCGGGAGAAGCTCTGTTCCGGTACCACGGCACTGCCCGGTGTTGCGCAGCCGCAGCCCCTTGCTTGCATAAGCCACTGGATGCATCAGTGTTAGGCGCGAAAACAAGGTACGGCGGGAAAAAAGGATGCGGCAGGCACGGAAGAACAGAGGAGAGGAGCCTGGAGGTATGCCATACCCTGCCGTTTTGCGTGCACGAGGCCGGGTGGTGGCGGCTAGGGGCTCACAATGCCCAGTGAAGTGCCTTCTCCCCAGTTGTGTCACAAGGCGTGGCACTCCTGAACGCACCCCTTTTGAAATAAACATTTTGCAGTACTACGGGGGTACTGACCTAGTACAACATATACACGGCGTACCACACACTAAGGCGCACGTAAGGATGAAGTGAAGTCTCAGACGGCCGGAAGCCAAAAAATGTCCGTACTTTGTGTGTTGTAGTAGGATTAGTTAAGCCCCGCCCCTTCTTTCACAACGGGGGCACCTGCCAGAGAGGAACGCTGTATGGAGCATGTGATGCGAAGCGGCAGGCCGCCTACACACTCATGCACCACGCCAGCGCGCGCCTCTTTTTTCGCTTTTCTACGGTCGTCCACCGAATGCAAGCCTGCAAGCCCCTGCGCGCGTACACCACGGTACTCAAAACACCAAACATCGATGCTCTACACGATCGCGCGGAGCCTGCACCCTTGAGAAATGAGGGGCCGCCTCCTCCATAATATCGCGACGCGTCCCTCTCCGTATTATGCAAAACCTCTCTCCAGCAAACGACAAAAACACGCGAGCCTGCTGCTCAAGCCACGCAGCCAACTCTGCAACGCAGGGCTCCCAAACCAAGCAAGCAAAATGCGCTCTCCATCACATGTCCATACGCGCGCTATCGCTCAATTCGCTCGCGATACGATCTCATCCACATCACAGAAGCAGCGACCCACGCCGGCCCCCAAAGCTCCAGCGAGCGGACCTGATCGGCTAATGATGACGGGTACCCTCGGCGGGAACCAGGACATGCCCCTTTCCGCCCCTGCCTATGGCTGCAACATGCAGAAACAAGCTCAATGCACACCATGCGCCCTAAAAAGACGTTCACCTGCGCATACTCATCGCCAGCTGCCTCATTGAGCCCCACCCTCCAGCTGACATCATGTGGCCGCATGGCCTAGCCTTCCTCCTGATGCACCACCACTGCTACTCACCGCTTCTTTTTCTTTCACACCATATACAGGCTTAATATTGTGCACCCCAAAGCCTCAGGCCAGGCCAAAACCTCCTCTCGATCATTACTCACGCTCTGCTCGTGCCATCATAGCCCCGCATTGCCGCACAATTTGTGTCGCCTTGCGCAGATAACGCCACAGCCGTGAGTGACGGACAGCGGCACGTGATAGACGCACGCGAAAAAATGGCTGAAAACTTGCTCTCTTCGTCGCAAGCGACGTGCGCGCGTGCGCGTGCGTGAACAAAACACCCTTCGGTTTCATTATATTCCAAACAATCATCCCACGAAGTAGAAACGCTGGCATTCGATCGGGCCATCCGCACCTTCCTACAAGCCGGCGCGCACCCTTCGAACTGACCACAAATACGCGCCAAGCCAAACCCAGCAAAACACTCGCACAGACAGCAACCAACCGGCAACGGCTCCTACACCCGTCCAATCTTCCATTTGCACACGGCCGCACGACGCCTAACCATCAACATCACCGGATGCAGCACCATCCCCCGAAGTCGAGCTCCGAGGACCCGCCGACTCCGCCTCCATCTCAACCTCTGCATCCACTGCCATGTCCGATGCGTCCCATTGGACCGCCCCGCGGGGCTGCGCATTCCCAGACCAGTCGTCGCCGTCCGAGCCGTCCAGCTCCTGACTGCTCCTTCCAACTGCCACACCGTCCTCAGATCCTGCTGCGGCCACTGAGCCGTCAGCGCCGCCGCCGTCGCCGCAACCAGCAGCGCCATCGAGGCTTCCATCCCCAGCCGCGGCCGCGGCTGCCGCCGCAGCTGCGAGCTTCTCCTTCGCCCGCTCCTTGTCTTTGGATGCCTTCCTGCGGCTCTGCAGCGCCGCAGCCACGGCGGCCTCCTCCTCGGGTGTCAAGGGAGCCAACAACTCCGACAGGGGATCCGGGTTGGATGCGAAAATACGAGCTGCGCGTTCAAATTCGCGCCGCAGAACCTGCGATGATGTTTAAACCATCGGTTGCGATTAAACAGTTCGTAAGGGCGGCTCTCGGCTCTTGCAACGGGGAAGTCGATGATGGCAGTTGTTGGGATATTAGAGGAGGAAAGACGCATAGCCAACGGGCAGAGGGTGGCCCCATGTTCCTTGTAACACCCCAAGCCACCCGCAAGCGAGGCTGCGGAGTCACAGCGGGACACTGACTGACCTGCACGGCCGCCTTGTCGATGGTGCGGCCCAGGTCGTGGCTGAGCTCAAAGGGGTCCTCAATGCACATCAGGTGCCGCTCGTTACCCTGCAGCGGTTATGAGTAGAAGATTTTACACGTGAGCTTGCGCGAGGAAGTTTGCCGTGGCATGTTAGCGGAGGATTACGGTGGCAGTGGCTGACACAATTACATAGAAAACGGAAGGCCCTGGTGGTGCTCGCATTCCCTTCCTCGTAAAGAAGGCTTAGCGCACCCAAAGTAGGCCGGCCCCTTCTGCATCTGAGGGTGCTCGCACGCACAATCCCTTGCCACCTTACCAGGGCACAACACAATATAGCGGTTTTTCTTTCCGATAACGCCCTCGTCCTGAGGCTGATCTGAGCCCGCGATATGTACACATGCTGAGGGGGGTCAGAACCACCGTCCCATGGCGGGGTGCAGGCCAGCTGTACCATTTCCGTTACTTCCCAACACCCAATAACACTCACCAACACGGTCGCCTAGGTTGACACCACCAGTGTACCAATTCCAACCACGAGTTGGTCTTAACCTTTACGCCGCCACGAGTGCACACACAAGCACAGAAGGCACATCTATGGTATACAGGCGGAAAGACGCAGCAATACGCACGCACCTACTCGCTGTGCATCCTGACCAAAACAGTGTCCCGCCCCCGTAGAGTCGCTGATGACTAAAAACATACCTGCCGCTTGGTCCAATCCTTGGCAGCCTTGGGCATCGTGCCACCCGTGCGCACACACACCACGGAACCGTTGTAGTCGTGGCGCCAAGCCCAATGGTCGAAAAATGCCACCAACTGCGCAGCGTGTGTGTTGGGAGCATAACAGGTGTGCCATGAAGGCCAACACCGCCGATGGTTACACCGATAAAAACACCGGAAGCACAAGCAAAGTGCGGTCCCAGGGGATGGAACAACAAAGCTCTGTGGATGCCCACCACACGCCGAGTGCGAACGAACGAACCGCAAGACGAGGGAAGGCAATCAGAAGGATGACTGTATAAATAAAATTGGAAGGCTGGAAAGCTGCGCACGCGTGCGTTACGAGCTATAGCTGTGGCCGAGGGCCTTCCGCAAGGGGTCATTGACATTTGTCACATCTTACCGTTGTGCGCATGTCGGGTGCAGATTCCTGGGTGCAGGTTCCTGTCCGTTTCTGGCTCTCCATTTCCAACCATACCCAATCTTAGCCAATCCTGAATACCCAACCCACGCACCAGCTCTGCGAGAGTCTCCTTGTTGCTTGCACCAAAATTCTTGACATCCTCGATGCGGTCGTTGTACGAGCAGCGCCAGGGTCCAACCGTCGTGTCGTAAGTATGGGGCTCGCGCTGCTGCAGCACTGGTAGGATGGCTGGCTGTCGCTGCTGCAGTAGCCATATGCACAACAACACGTAGGCATACGACGACAGGGAGCCCCTGCAGGCAATGAGCAGCAACAGCAATGACAACCACAAATCGACCCCAGCTACGCTAAAACGGCAACACAAGCGGCTGCTGCAGCATCGACAACAGCAGTAACACACGTAGCCCAGCAGCGAGGGTAAGATTAGCTGATGAGGCTACGAAAGCACAGTAGGTTTAGGAATCCTCCAAACCCCGGGGGACTCCGGGTTTGGCTGCTGCACTGCACCTGTAGGCGTCGTTGACGCTTCGTGTCCTGGCCCAGTGCTTCACCAGGCGGACCAGTTGGCGCAGCCGGGGGTCGATGTCGCAGTAGAGGCCCAGCAGGCGTGTATTGGAGATCCCCAGCAGGTTGTTTACAGTCACATCCACGCGGATCTGGGGGCAGAGAGACGGTTAGGAAACAGGCAGAACACGGAAGGAAGCGAGCATAGTGAATGAGAACAAAGCCATTCCTCCTGCAGAACGTTTCAGCGGTGATGGTTGACCGCTGGGTCACGGTGACAGAACATCAGGTGCTTTTCTGTATGTGGGGACGACACGCCCGCGCAATTTCACGTGGAAAAGCCTTTAGCCAGCGGGCCGTGCGGCTCCAGGACCCCACCCCCAGCCAGATGAAATCCGGCCTTTTGTTCGTGTGGCCCCAGCACACAATACCACAGGGTTACAATGACGCCGGTCAGCGACGAGTCGCATGCGCTCGCCCTGACTTCTCTGCTGCTCAAGGTGGAGCACAAGACAACATTTTGGCAATTGTGTACTTCACATACGCATCCACAAGATGTCCACCTGCGTGCTGGTCACCGTCATCTTCACAATGGGCGTCCGCGCCTTGGGCAGCGCAGACACCGCAGTCATCGCCCGTTGAGGCGGCGCAGCCGCCATATCTGCGTCCGCCTCCGTCATGGCCAGCAGGCCTGCTGCTGCCCGCCCCGCAGACCCCGTAGTGCCGCCCACTGCGCCGCCGCCGCCCCGAGCGGCTGCTGCGGCCACGCCTCCTGAGGCCGCGTCCGCAGGGCCCTCACCAGCCGCCGCCCCGGCCGCGACTGTATCCAGTTGGGATGCAGGAGCTGCAGTGGGCGACGCGGCGCTTGCTGCCGGCACCCCCGAGGCGAGCTCGCCAAGCTCTGAAACCATGGCAGCCTTGGCAGCGTGATCGTCCCAGGCCATATCCGGCACTTCGATGGTGATGTCAATCTCGTCGCTACCGGCGATGCTCAGGCCGTTGGCAGCCGAGCCTAGGACGGTTTTTAAGGTTGTGGCGATGGCAGCGGTATAACAATGTAGGCAAGGAGCCCAGGCAAGGAACCCGAACGAAGACGCGAAACGGAAACAACAACATTAGTGACGCGAACCTGCGAACCTATGTGCTGGAGGCGGCGCGATGGCCATAATCCACGACGGATGACAACCACGCACGCCAACCGCACAACCCTCACATCGCCACTCTTAAGCAATGCGACGAACTTTAGAAAAATGAAAGCGAACCAACGTCTGGCATGGCTAGGGGAAATCCTCATGAGAAGACCAAAACAGGTTCAAAAAGACGAGAATGAAGCTTACAGAACGAGGTAGCTGAAGCACACGAGGCAAGACATATCGACGAAGGATCAGCGCAGGGGGCTCACCAATCAGGTGCACCTTGACATGAGGCCAGCGCGTCTCCACCAGCTCCTGAACAGCCAACACAGCCACCCGATGCGCCGCCAGCTCATCCTCCCCTGGAGTCAGCTGCCGTACGAGGTCCTGCAGGTGCATCTCCAGGAACGACATCTCCGCGACGCAATGCGCAATGATGGCAGGCGCCCGCGAATTGCCAGGCCTGCAGAGCAGGGGGTCGTACCAGAACTTTGCACGATGTGACAGGATTGCTCCTGATTGATTGGCAACTTTAAGCTATCACGACGTATTTCACTTTTAATTCAGTCCACCAGCCTGACACCAAGAACAGCAAGACACCAATTTCGCATTTGTGCAGCACAGGGGGTGGTCAGCTGCCACCAGCAGACGCAAGCGTTTCGCGGCGGCTCATCCTCATCGCTGAGGCGTAGTTACCTACTTGCGCTCGCGTTGCTCTGCCGACCGGCCCTTGCCCTCCGTCTTTTCCCGGCCACCCGGTCGCACGCGCACAGCTACTGGGCTGTCCCGGTTAGAACCCGCAGTGCCGGATGTCCCGCCGCTGCCAGCTTCACCGCCCCCGGCGGCACCGGTTGCTACCGGCGCCCCGCCGCGAGGCGCTTTGCCTGACATCTGTACCGCTCCAACTCCGACTCCAGCTGCGGCGCCTGTGGCCTTGGCACCGGCGCCCCGAATCCCACCATAAGGGGCCCCAGAAGGGTGCATGCCCGGCCCACCGGAATGGCCGTACGGTTGTTGTGCATGGCCGTACCCGGCAGTCCCGCCTCCGTGGTAATGGGCTCCGTGGGGGTGCGAGAAGGTGCCATGGGCATGCGCTGCCATATGGGGGTGCGCATGCATGCCCATATGCGGGCCACCCATGTGTCCATGTGGGGCAAACGTGTGTAAGTGGGGATGCCCTATTCCCATGCCCATGGGCATGGATGGGCCGTGGGGCATCATCATTGGGCCCATGTGGACTGGCTGGTGCGGGAGTGCCCCGTGGGCTTCCATGCTGTGTGGAGAGCTCACAAGGGGCGTCATCACCTACGGGCAGCGGTTGGGACGGGAAAAGGGAAGCCACCGATAGCATGAAAGTTCGCAAGTGCCATGGGCATACATGTTAGCAGGTAGTCGGGGATTAGAGATATAGGTTATAAGGACGCAAGTACGGCGAGAAAAAAATTATGGGTCGGGCCGTTGGATTTAGAAGGCAGGCAATGACAACCGATGACCTGGCCATAAGGGGCGGGTTGTTGAGGACCGACAGGTGTGCGCTATGACGAACGCCGTGGGCGTTTCCTTCTCATGGAACATGAAACGGCAGTCGAAGTTTCATCTGGTTGAAGTAAAAGACGTGTGCAGCAACCTTGTGCCGAGCTACGACCAGGACCGAACAAGCATGGCAAGCAACGACAAGCAGTAGCATGGTAGCGCACCACTAGCGGACGGCGTGTGTCAACAAGTAAGACAACAGGTGCCACCTAGCCTCCCCTGCCAGGGCAAACCGCTTTCGTGCAGATCCACAGATGCGGACCCGGACCCTAACCTACCTGTGACATGACAAGCCCAGGGGCCATTATGCCGTATACCGCGTACGGCACTTGCGGCATGCTGTAAGGACCTGTGGCACCCTCGTGGACCATGGGACCCTGCATTATCTGCTGTGCCGTACCGTACGGGCTTGGATGTTTGGGGCCTTGACTGGCACCGCCACCTGCACCTCCGGAGTGGGCTCCGGAACCGCCGGCGCTACGGCTGCCACGCCAGCCGCTGCCGCCGCTGCCCTCCCGTGATGTCCCCGACACACCGCTCCCGCCGACACTGGGCCGACTCTTTAGGGCGCTGGTATTGCTGCCGCCGCTGCCTGCGCTACTACTGGTGGCGTGATGCACCCCCAATACCACGGCTCCAGGAGGCACCTGCGCCATGTAATACGGTTGGGCCGAGTAGGCCACCGGTGGAGAGGTGGGCGGCTGCTGTACAGCCCCAGCGGGCGCGCTCGCAGCCAGCGTGGGCGGTGGGTGCTGTGGCACCTGAAAGTTGGAACCCGCGGCGGGTTGCATACCGTGATTGTGCTGGAATGGCACACCACCATAACCAGCTTGGTGTCCGCCGGTGACGGGCGGTTGCGGGTTACGAGATCCTGCTTGCTGGGGGACGCTGGCACCTACGGAAGACGAAAAGCCGTCAACGGCCCGAGTATGGACCACTGCACCGCTGCCGTTGCTGACAGTCCCGCTTCTTGGGAGGCTTTGCTGCGATGCTGCTTCAGCTCGCCGGTTCGAAGAATTCGACTGCGGCCGCGTGCCTTGGCTTGAACCCTTGACCGAGCCGCTGGGCTCCGTGCTCACGCCAGGTATGGAGTCCTTGCTGGACGCAGTTTCAAGTGGCGACCCCCGCGATCCATACCCATCGATGGGCTTGAGAGGCTGCGAAGAGGTTGAGGTTGGGGTGGGTAAGCTGTGGACGCCCCCAGGCAGAAGCGATGGCGACGGAAGGACGAGACTGTCGAGTTGACGAATTCCCGGGCCGCTTGAATTTGCTGGAGAATCTGCCAACTGACTCATTGCAGAACCGTAACATGTGTCCTGGCCGGGAATAATAAGCCGATTGCTCACAACTACTTTGAGGAGCTGTGTCGCCGGTGTCGATGGCTGTGGCGTGGCAAGCAAGCCGTTAGGTATTAAATCACTTGGCGCATGGACGATGCTGCTTGTTGGATTTATAGTAGACAGAGAGGGCATTGATGGACCATCCGGCAGAGATGTTGTTCCAATAACCCATGCGGCTGGAAAGGTAGAGAAAGGCGTGGGATTAGATGTAGAATGCTGAAAGGCACTAACTGCTACATGTTGGACAGGGATTTCGGGGGTTGCCTTCCTGCTTGCGGAACTGCCACCAGACGGCGCTCCAGGGTCCTGCTCCGACCGCCACATTCAGATAATTACAAGCTTAATACGCCTCAAAGCTGGTGTAAGCCGAACGGGAGTCCCGTGCCCCAATGTTGATTGGACAGACTCGAAGACATAAAAGGATGGCGCCTATGCACTATTTCTTGCAGGATAAATCATTCCCATGCTTCAAAACTGCATCGATTCAGACATGAAACAGGCTGGACAGGGCGACAATGGAAGGGTGCTCCCTCGTCGCAGGTGAGCATCATGGCCCCTGCCGCAACATGATGCATCCCATGTAGAAGCTTACGCAATAAATGTATGTCTTGCATAGAACAACATGCAGGACACCGGAAGCAGTTTGACCTTTCCGTAAATTTTGTACAGCACAATTAACCGCCTGAGACTCGTCTTTGCTCGCCCATGTCATTACATCTGATGCTTACTATGATAAGGCTAAACGGAAGACATTTTTATTAATTAATACATAGAGAGTTCGCGTTGCGGATTTTTGCGGCTACACGGCTTGAAACCCGAGGCAATTATTCATTAGTGTTGGCCACGAGAAGTGAGCCTTCGCAAGCGGCATGTCAGCCGTTGATACTCTTTTAGAAGTCATAGGTGGTGCGCTCCCACGGGCAGAGGCCCAGCGACTTTTGCAACAATTCAACGGAGACATATCTGCAGCGATTACAGCTTACTTTTCAGCTTCCCACAACCACCGGGGAAAGCCATCAGCGGAGGCTCACAATGCAAACCCATCTTTGGCTACGTTACGTGATGTTCTTGGATCCTGCGTCCCCGAGGCACAGCTTGTGGAACTACTGCGCATGTAAGTCCGTAGTCATGTGCAGGTGCTATGATACCCAATATTTTCTCTGAGGATAGGGATAAAAAAATTGAACGATTTGCGCAGCACGTGCGGTGCCTGCTATGGCCACAAATTACGAATCTCATTTTCCGTGATCGAGGCAAGTTTAGAGGTGCTGAGCACGGTCCTACTTCCTTAAGGCGCATATAATTTTAAGTACGAACATGGTTGTTCTTGGGCTGTCCACAACCTTGCTCTTCCTATCCGTGCACTTACAAACGTATAAAGATGCCTAGATAGATTGCTTTTGATGGGCAAAGTGATAGTAAGTGCTTGCCGCATCTTGCTGACCGCCTTTTACACTTACGACCGCCGCTGCGGCTCTTTCCCACCTTCATCCGGGCCACGTGAAAGCTGCTACGGACGGCGCCGCTGTGCAGGTCAGGAGGTCTGGTCGAGGCGGCCGTAAATCTCTATATGGAGAACCCAAACTCTGGTAGGGCGTCGGTGGATGCTGGAGGCAGTGCAGGCGCAGCAGCCGGCAGCGCCAACGCTGCGGCAGGTGCTAGAGGTAGCGGCTCGGGACACAAACGAGCTGCGGGTCGCGAAGGCCGCACAACAGCACAACATGGTGAGAGGCGCTCCTGTGAGTGGCACCATCGGGATGACACGGTGTCAGGGCAGGGAAGGTCCGGGTACGTGGCCATTTCCTGGAGTCTGTCAAGCGGAGCTGGGGTCCTGTCTACTGCACACGAGAACGGCATCGCCCACATCGTCAAGGCGTATATCAAAACGCATCATTCTTGAACCGCATAATCGCAGTGCTGAGCTCTGATGGCAACACTGCCCATTAGGTGTCAACCGCTCCGTCCTGCAAAAGGCGGGGCACCGGTGAGAGGTATAGCAGAGAAGGATGGGCTTGTTGAATTGGGACGCAGCCCAAACCAGGCGCAGACATGAACACCCTGATTGTGTTCCCACGAAAGATCATTGGGACTCCATAGAATGCATCCATAAGGTTCATGTGGGTTATCTCTTGACTGGCGACATCGCCATGCAGGTCCCGAGGTTATTGTCCTCGCTGAGAGCGACGGCGAGGGACAGGAGCCTCAAAGGGGATGTAGGCGCATCACGTTGGGTGGTGGGGCCCACAGCACCGGGCACAATGGAAATCCTATGATTGGCATTAGAGCACCTGTTGTTGGAGCTTCCGCCGCGGCCGGTGGCAGTGCAGAAGTGGCCCGTGCAGCCGGTGGTTCAGGTGCCGCGCCTGGAGCTCGGAATTCAAGCGTAGGCCCTACAACCTCGGCAGGCAACGGGGCTGGCCACGCGGTGGCGGGCGGCTCGCAGCCAGCACAGGGCAACCCTGTTGGAAATGGCGGAGCAGCCCTGAACCCAAGGTCCTCGCAAATCCGGCTTATGCCTGTGCCCTCCAAGCCGAAGATATCTGCCGGCGGCAGCAATGCCAGCGACAACCAAGGGACTCCGAACGGTTTGCCGCCACTGCCGCCAACGGCGACGGCGGCTCCATCACAACAGCACCAGCAGCAGGAGGGGCCACAGCGGGTGTCGCGAGTTCCTGCACAAGCTGCAGGTGCGTTTCTACGGGGTTTGGGTGTCGTTAAACAGCGCCGTGGATCGCCCTCCACGCAGGGGTGACAGCTGAACAGTGATGTGAGCCATGCGTCTTATTAGGTCGTTAGGTGCAGCCAGGCTCTCGTAAGTCAGTTGACATATGCCAGTGTCCTATGGCTTTGCACTCGATGCGATACTCTGATGTCGGCTTTTCCGCTTAAGTCATGACGAGGCATAGATGCGGTGGCAGCGGCCCTTCTTGCAGCTACGTGTCCATGGGATGACTTGCGTCGGCTGGCTTAGCTGACTCTTTTGCATAACAGGTGCAACTTTGACTGGCACGGTGTCTATAGGCGCAGGAGGATCGAATGCGGCCGGGGCGGCTGCAGCAGGGGCAGGGCCATCTGGTGCGGCAGCTGGCGCGCCTGCTGGTGGGTCGGCGGCTGCTGGGGCGGCCGGCACAGCGACGGCGGCTGGAGGGGCCGCGATGGGCAGGGTGGAGGCAAGCAGGCAGGCCACCAGGCCCGACCCAAATCAGCCGCTGCTTCTGGGCAACCTCATTGCAGACGTGAAGGTATGGAATAGCGACGCCCATTCTATCACACCACCGCAACCGGGGCCGCAGGAGAGTGGTCTAGGGTTATTTTCGCGATGGCGATTGCATGGTGCTGTCAAATAGCCTTGCCGCTGCTCCACCATGCCATTGCGTCCTCCTCTCCTTCCGCCGAAATTCTACGCACTAGGCTTCCGGGGATTTAGACTTACAGTGGCGTCGGGTGTGGGGAGGGCTGCAGCTCCTGAAATGCCTTTTTCGGACATAGTCCAGGCGTTCACACAGGCGGCCTGGATAAGACAGCCTTGGCACCTTCTATCCTGGCAACAGGCAGTGGCCGTGCAACCTGCGTTGCTGCTGCTGCTGCAGGCGGCCTTGTCCTGTGCGTGCTTTTTCTCCTCGCCCAAGCCTAAGCCCCGATGCAACGTGCGCGCATGCTCCTTGCACAAATCCTATGGATTGGCCCACGGCCCGCTTTCGGCTGGTATATCCTTCCCTTCCATGACCCCTATCCCTGCTACCTGGCCTTGCCGCGCCCTCCTTGTCCGCTTCCGTCTTCAGCGGACGCAGGGGCCCTATCCGGTAGCGCCCCTCCTGCCGCTGCCGGAGCATAGGCGGCCAGATGGGTCGCTCTTCCTAGCGGATCAAGATGCGGTACCAGACCGCTCGCCGCCAGTACAGCAGCTCAACTCGTTGAAGTGGCCCATGCTTCTGGGCAAGGTGGTCACGCCGCTGGAGTTGGGCATGTGCAAAACCGTTGAGGGCCGGGAGAGCGTGCTGAATATGGCCTTGGACTGGCTCAAGGAGGTACGTCGTGCCTGGTGGGTAGTCCTTAGGAGTGGCAAAAATGCGGGCATCGGGCTGAGGAAGGCATTGGACCCATAACACGTGGCCTTTTAAGGGCCGCAAGGGCCCCGGGGATACAAAGGGCTAAAGGCCAGATTGACATGGCCCAAGTTGTAGAGGGGGGAAGGATGAACCGTCCCTGTGCGGGATGAAGCGCAGTGCAGAGTGCAGAACCTGTTGAGTCTGCGCTTTGCGTGTATTGTGAAATTTGCCTGTCAATACCCCGTGCGGCCACAGGGGAAGTTGGTGTATGGTTCAACCTCGTTGGGCCAAAGATGTGACGAACACGCTGACTTGTTTTGGAAGCTGGAGTTCCCCCATCCCATCATGGTGTCGCCTGGGCCATGGCTGGAAAGGCCTCAGGAACAGCCTGACGGATGGCGCCTGGCTCTGTTTGTCGACAATAGAGACTTCTGGAGTGCTGCCATGGCGAAGTTTCCGGTATGTAGATGTACATGGTGTTGATGTACATGGTGTTGAAAGGCTTGCATGCTTGCGGAGAGGTAGCGCTCTGCTGGGTCCCGAACGGGCAGTAATGGTCGTGGGGAAGGTCTGCCGTGTGATGTCGTGCTTTGCAGCGGAACTAGTAGTACTATAGTCAACTGCAGTAGCGGCCCGTTTTGGTTGTGTAGGAATGGTGCTTGGTGCCGTGTGCCATCAAAAGCGGTGAGACACCTTCCCTGTCCGCAAGGGAACACGCGGCCTGATCGCCCCGCTCTCACTACTCTTTTACCATGTCTGCAGGGTTTAAGCCCCAACCGTGAAATTCGGCTGGCCACCACCGTGGTGGGGTGCAACGTGCAGAGGCTGGTGAATTTCTACCTGCTACGAAAATACCCCCTTGAACTTAACAGGGTGAGCTAGTTGCGTTGTTGTGCGGCCTGTGGCTCTAGTGAAGCTCAACGGCGTCAGTGAGAGGTTTGAGTGAGGCCCTGTCGATCTGTAGCCGCCATGGGAACCGATTAACTGTCATGCCGCTCCATCGTCTTTCGCGTCCCCGTTCATGTAGGCACAGAGCTCGTCTGTTATCCCGGTTAACATCAGGATCCTAGGCCCTGGGCTGGACCCTGAAAAGGGTGTCATGCTCCGGGTCGACGTGCCGGAGTCTGATCTGGGTCGGGAGCTGGAGGGCACTGCCGCGCGCCCCGGGATTGCCACCACGAAGGCGGCAGCTCAGGAGGGTTTCGGGTCCGCGCACGACGCGGATTCCGACGGAAGCAGTGGCGACGGAGACGCTCGCGAAGGGCCCAGTGACAGCGACCAAGAGAGCGATGTGGAAGACGGCGCCGCTGCTGCGGGTTCTAAGCGCAAGCGCCCCCTCCGCGGCTCCGGCGGCGGCAATGGTGCTGATGGGGCAGGTATGGCGAGAGGCGCCAGCAGGAAGAAGGGGAGCCGCGGGTCCACGCGCGGCGCGGAGCCGAAGCGGCCGAGCAGGGCAGCCAAGGAGCGAGGCGCAGGGCGAGCGGCGGCGGCGGGTGAAGTTGAGGGTTCCATGGACAGTCAGAGGCCTCGCAAACGTGTTCGGCGGCTGGCCGAAACGTCTGGGGCAGGCTGCCTGGGCGGTGCGCTCCCCGCGCCCGCGATGATAGTCGGTGCTGGGAGTAGCATGGGAATGGCTGGGGGCTCCGCGACAGGCGGACAGCAACCCAATCGCAGCGGCGAGGCACCAGCGGCGATGGCAGACGGCACCTTCCGGCTTTCACTAGAGTTCTACATCACGGAGGAGACGCTGAAGGTGAGCGCTCGGCAGCTTGCAGGGTGCCACTTGTGCCTTGCAGTGGTCAGACTGCAAGCACGTTCGGTCCTCAGAATTAAGCCATCCGCACGACATGACACTTATGCATAAGTGTGGCTGATACGGTGTACGGTATAGCGCAGCAACGAATCATGAAGCTAACGCCTGAGCGCCGGTCGCTGCGCCAACGGACGAATGTTATGACGGGGTAGCAGAGTTGACGGTTTGGTTCTTTGTTTGGGTAGGTATGCAGGCATGCAGCCACCATCACGTGCTTCCCCTCCGGTCCGGTCCGGAGGCAGAACATGCAGTTAACACGGCGTTGGCATGCTGACGTACCCTCCCCGGGGCCCGGCGTAGACCCTGATGCTGCGTTTGCCTAAAATGTCTGACTCCGAAAATCCGATTATCATGATTGCACAACAATCACAACAAGTCGCGGCAGTCGCGGCGGTCGCACCGTAATGACTGTGCGCAAGTTTGCATTGGGACCCGCGTTTCCCAAGCCAAGACAGTGATTGGCAGTTAACATTGTATTTGTGCTTTTGTGCATGTGTATCCCAGCCCGCCTGCATTGCGCTTGGTATCACGGCTCGATATAACCTTTTGAAGTGGGTTGTATGCGTCACTATGATGAATTTAAGCCTTGCGATTCTGCCGCCCTGCCACTCTCCTTTTGTGGCCCCAGGCCACAACGCCGCCTACCAACTGGAGCCCGGTGGACATTCAACATGGCAAATGGTCAGTGAGGGAGCTACCTGCCGAGCTGTACTTCTTTTCGCTGCACCTCGGCGAGGCGCGCAATTGAATGGTCTTGGTTTGGTGCACTCTCACCCTATGCTTCCCGGGTTTCATGCGCCTCCGCCTCGCCCTCGGACCTGTACGGTCATTGGTCTAGTCACACGACGACGACACCCTGACTGCCGAATCGTATATCGTATGACCAATCAATCCCTGATCCAACTGTAGCGCTGACCGCGCGGCTGACGTGCTTACCTTACCATGTGCGATGCCACCCGCTGGCCGCCATGCCGTGCTGGCGATTACAGCGCCACCACAATCATCTGCTTTTTCCCCTTTCGTATTTCCGTCAATAGAGATCTTCACACGTGCGTTGTTCCCCACATGTCCTCCTCCGATCCTCCAGCACCGGCCGGGGCAACAAGTACAACCGCGATGGCGCTGAGCACCTGGCCAACATCATCCATGTGTTATTGGAGCACGGCACCGGACTGTACGTTGGGCCCGACTGTGACGGGGTCATCAACACCATGGACGTGTTACAGCAGGCGGCGCAGAGAGCCTCGAAGGCGGGCGGCGCAGGTACAATGACGTGCGACGGAAAATGAGACTGCGTAGCGGGGATTTTTAAGTGGGCGCTCTTTGTTCCCGACTGGATGCATCCAACTGGGGGCGCTAGGAGGGCTCGCTTAGCATAGAGACGCCTCCCTGATAAGCCTACCAATTTTCATATCACAAAGTCGTGTCACCTATAAATCCTTAGTCCTAGCGATCTTCCGGACTTCTGCGATGGATCTCTGCATTTGCTAACGTGCTCTTTTGGACTATTAACCTACCTGCTTGTTGCGTTGCGTTGGATAGTGTTACACCTCATTGGTAATGTCCTTGCGGCGACAGCAGGTAGTGACCGCTGCAGTCTGAACCGCGGCGGGAGTGTTGACGGCAGTACGGCTGGGGCGGCTGGGGCCCCAGGTTCTGGAGCCAACGCCGCCAAGCACGTCATCAACGATGAGGGCAGCAACGGGCCGGCTGATGAGGTACGTGTGAGGATGCCTGGCTCGCCGACTTGCGGCTTTCACCTCACCCCACCACCACCAGCACAACCAGCACACATTCACATTCACAGTCGCGACTTGCGCTGCGTAGGCAATATTCTCTCCTAACCGACGCCCACACACAAGCTGGGTCGTTGCGGCTTCGCCCATCTCCCCCAATTCATCTATTTTTTGGCTAGTCATTTCCCTTAGCGCTTCGCGTCTAGGTTCCGTTCGGATCTGCAGTGCTTGATCCTTAAGCCCCACGCGCCTTCATGACCTCTTCCCCATTATGTATTCTTTCCTCCTAACTCCGTACCCGGTCCGCCTGCATCCCAACTGCAGCTCCGGGACCTTGACGCTCTATTGGACAGCATTCAGCCGCCTAACGACCTGCCGCAGGCGGCGGTGCCGCCGCCCGTGGTGGCCCGTCCCAAGCCCTTCCAGCTGCAGGTAAGGACTTGAGCCGAATGCACTGGGCTCCTCAACCCTGGGCGGTAGGTGCCAGAGGTGGCCTCGTTTCACTGCATCCATCGCCGCCCCTTGGCCCGGCACCGGTTCCGTGGTTAAGAAGAAGCGACTAAATAACTCACAACTCATTCTGGCCCGGCGAAGTTTTCGGGCCTGGGCTAGGAAATGGAAAACGTCTTCGGGAGTCCAGAGCCTGGCTGGCAACCTGACCACGGCAGCGCGCCGTGCGGAGCTGGTGGTTGGATTGCGCAACATGGTGGGCCTCTTGAAGGCCGGCCGGCTGATGGCGTACTGCGTGGTGGTGAACCATGAGGAAAAGCGCCATCGCCACGGCCGCTGTAAACGTCATTTCATGAGGGATTGGTGCCTTCGGTGGGCTTGCAGATAGCGTGCGTCTTCACACACTGCTATAGTCCCTTGTCATAAGGTTCACGACCTAGATTTTCCACGAGTGGTCTTCGCCGAGACTCAACCGATGATGCCTTAACTTGAAGCTACACCGCTGCTGCTCTGCTCTGCTCTGCTCTGTCGTTTGCTCCCTGCGGCGATGCTCTGCGGCGGCTGTGCCAGGGCCTGGAGTGGATGATGCGCCGGGAACAGCGGGGCGATGCTTTGGGCCGGTCGCTGCTGCTTCTCCACCCCGCCTGGGCGCAGGTCAGGAGGCGTGCAGCGCGTACCGCTTTGGTAAAAATGCCGAAGTGGATGAAACATAGACTTAGATGCTACAGCGGATGCGTCCGGATCACCGATGCTGTCCCCGCGCCAAAATACTACATAAGCATCGAAAGGTCCGAAGAGGATGGCGGTCCCCCGTACCATGGCCCGGACTGCCGCACACAACCACAGTCGCTCCCCCACTCTGCCCACTTGAAGAGTGTGTAACGCAAGGACGCAAGGACAGAAAGGCAGTTGTGTGCTGGAATGCGCTGCCTCCTCCCGGGAAACAGGGCTCATGGGAACTGCAGTAGGATTATGGTTTTATGGTCAGCTATTTATGGTCAGCATTATGGTCAGCTCTTAACGAGGACTTGTTTTGGGATGTAAAGCTCGGGCTGACGTTGGTAGATAAGGTGGTGGGATGGGCGCTCCAGTCACCTGTCAGCTGACCATAACCCTCGAGGCGATTTAGGCGCCACCACTGACGCCCGCCGCCGCTCCTGCTGATCCCCACTGACCCACGGTTCACAGGTAGTCCTCGGCAGCACGGGCCTGGTGCTTCAAGTGCATCGCCTGTCACCATGGTTCATAACTGCAGATTTCTTCCCGGCGCCAGTCGGCGGAACCTGCGGCGGTTTCCTTTGTGACGAAGTAAGCCCGGTGGATGCACCGCAGAGCGGCCGGGCGGGGGGGGTAGCGCGGGATGGGCGGTCACAGTGGTAAGCTGGCTTCTTCACGTCGCGGAAGTGACGAACCCACACCTACAAAGGGCTCGGTGTTAGGTAAAGCTTCAAGCTTCATTCGATAGCTCGGCCCAGAAGCCCCTCGCGGATTCCTGCCTGGGTTCTCTGCCGCAACGGTTATCCTGCATTACGCTGCCCGGGCCCCCCCAGCTGCTGTCCCCCTCTCCCACTCCCGTTTTGCAGATGGGCCTGGGCAAGTCGGTACAGACCCTCATGCTGATCGTATCCAATCCGTCGCCGCCGGGCTGGGCCGCTAAGCCGGTGCCCCTCGCTTCAGGGAATGGCAGCGGTGCCGGCAGCAGCAGGTGTAATGCGGTGGTTCCCATGACGGCTCTGGCAGACACGGGCGACAACGAGCCCATCCCTATTCCGACCACCTTGCTTGTAACGCCGTTAAACCTGCAGGTGCGGGGGTGAAGTCGGCCATGTTCGTGTGTTGCCATAACAACAACCAACAGTGCAGAATCGCACCCTTATCCGACCTGCATTGCACATAACGGCATAAACAAATCCAATGGCGCTCAGCGGCTATGTACATTTTGATGTGCTGGGCGTCAGGGCCGCTTGGGGGAGGTGACGAAGGCCGAAGGTTCCGACGCCGGTTCTGGTACATGTCGCATACGGGTCCCATCGCTTTGATCTATAATCTTTATTATACATCAGCTTTGAGCATCATGTGCCAAAAAAGGCGACGCATCTGTAGTTGTTGTCTTCCTCTGTTAATTCGTGGCTGGCTGGCGGGCTGCTTTCCACTTACCAGGGGGTTTCGCTCAACGTCCGGGTCCGTGGCGGATTTCTGATTTCCGGCAAATCATGTGTCGTGGTTCTCGGTCCGTCGCTGCCTATAGGTTGGCCCTGGTACACCGTTACACCTGTACATTTGCTCAGCCGCTCACCTACTCGCGCCTGCCTGCTCTCCTCTGCAGAGACAATGGGTAGAGGAGATTGAACGACATCTACGGCCCGGATCACTCAAATGGTGCGGATTGGACAGTACAGGACGCCGCCTCCCACTTCGCTGTATGCTCTAGCCTTTTTTAATGCCTGAGCGGTGCAGGATAGCCCTTCTTATACACGGCGAGTGCCCAAGTAGGCAAAAATATGAAGCAGGAAATATAAAATGGATGAATGGAAGCAAACGACGCCATTCAGTATTTAAACTGTCCAAACTGTTCTCAGTAAGAATGTTGGAAGCCCTCGCGCGTTTACTAGCACTGTCTTACTCGCTCGGCGCGTGTCGGGGTCGCGTGGGCCGCCTTGTTACCGCGTCTGCCTATCGGCCTCAGGGCAATCTACCACGGCCGCGGGGACAGTCACCGCCCCCATTCCCTGGAGTCCGACCCCCCCTTGGGTACCAGCGCTGAATCTGGGGAGGATGGGAAGCGGGCTGGCGCCCGCCCTTCGCGGAGGACGCGGCAACTGGCGGCGGCAACTGATCCCGGCAAAACCCTTTCTGGGCGCTTGCTGCCGCCGGCCATGGCGTACGACGGCAATGGCAACAAGGTGGGGGAATATACAGGAAAATACTTGTCCGCGGCCTCATTGCGCTCACCGTTCCGCCTTCCTCCTCGCCCACCCATTTGCTGCCCGTATCATGCGCCCATCCTTCCTCTTCGCCATACCTCCCTCTCTCCCCCTCCCTCCCTCCCTTCCCTTGGGCCACCCCATCTTCAGGTGCCCGTCCATGGTTGCGATGTCGTACTGGTGTCGTACGAGGTACTCCGCAAGGAACTGACGGCCGTGGGCGATAAGACCAGTCAGTCACTGCCACGGTTGGGCTTTTGGCGGATTGTACTGGACGAGGCACAGCTTGTGGCGAACAGCAACTGCGTCGCGGCCGAGGTGCGTATGGGAACGGCGGGTGTGTCCTGGAAAGGAATTACGGCCGGTCGGCTCCGACGGCATGCAACCGTATGAGACAGGCATGAGGCCCGGGCGGGATGGATGCATTAGGGAGTTGAACAGGGAGCATGTCGGACAAGCCACCACTGCTGCCGGAAAACATCGACACGCACCATCGGTACGGTTCCGTGCGGTGTTCCTTTCCCTTTCCCTGTAGGTGGCCAGCTCGCTGTACCGTCGCCACGCTTGGGTTGTGACAGGTGAGCGCGCCTCCCGTGCGCTACATGTTAGAGAGGACATCCTCCTGGTGGAGCTTCTTGCCAATCCAGCATATAGTCCTCCGAAACCCCACCGGCACCACTGCATTGCCACAAACAGCACCGCCGTAGTGGCTGGCTGCTACCGCTACACGGCTCTGCCACCATCCTTGCCACAACCACCTTAATCGACACGGTCCACCATGTATCTTCCACGCGCTCCCGCTTCACCCCCATATCCCACCTCCCGCGAATAGTCCTGTCCTACACCACCCGTCCATAGCCGCCACTGCCGCTACAACCCCCGCGATTGCGGCCACCTCCCACATTCCCCCCCACCAGGCACTCCCATCAGCAGCTGCTTCAACGAGGTGAAGGGTCTGTGCCAATTCCTGTCGTACGAACCCTTCTACCACAGCGTCCTTTGGCGAAAGCTCATCGAGGAGCCCCTCACCCAGCGCGGCTTGGTGGGCCTTACGGCCATCCGGTGGGTGGGTGAGAGGGTGAACCTTAAGGCGCGTGTGGTGTGGCGTGAACGGGATAGGTTAGTGTGTGGGTGAAAAGGGCGCTTTGCGTACAGAGGGTGTGCTTGCCGCGTACATTACACGGGCATAACCTTTTGGGTTCCCAATACTACACGTTTGTAAGGGACGGGGGCCTAATGCATATTCCTTAAGCTGACTTAGCCACAATCTCCCCCTCTTTGCCACCCGGGCTGCTACCTCACTCACGTTGCCTCTCTTTCCTTTGTTATTTCCCGCCATTGTCCATCCGTCCTTCCTTTTCTCCTCTCCTTCCTCCTCTGCGTCTGCGTCCGCCTCCGCAGCGCTCTGCTTCGTGGAGTGATGCTACGGCGCAGCAAGGCGGCAGTGGCGGACCAGTTGGCCCTGCCGCCGTGTGTGCGGGAGGACCTGACGGTGGAGCTGAGTGGCGTGGAGAGGGCATTTTACGACGTGCTCAAGGTGCACAGGGGTGGGGTTACTTTGGGGTATGAGTTGCTATAGGGGATGTGGGTGGGTGCTCTGGGGGGGGCTGGGGACGCGACGTGTAGCCGCGAAGGAGATAAAGGATGTAGCCAGGGGACCGGGGAAAGATACCTGAGGTGCAAGTAATGCGAGCAGTGGGGAAGGGGATCTGGTGGAGAGGGCAGTAGATCAGGATATAGGAACTGAGGGAAGGGGCCGAGTCGGGGGCACCGAACGAGCCCCGGCGGCGGATAGTGGTGCCGGTCTGAGGTAGGGCCGAGTGGGCGATGGGCCACGCCGAGCCACGTGCGCTCCGCCGCCTGCGAAGGGAGAACCGACAGTCGCGGCTTTTCTTCGGCGCCGGATGATGGGCATGGGTACTTGGGGCAGGTTGTTGAGCATATGCCGCATGGTCCAGGTGAAGACTTCTATCCAGTTCAATCATATGGGCTTCGCTGGTTTGGGCACACCTGTGCATGTACCTCCATGCACCTCCATGCACCTCCATGCACCTCCATGCACCTCCATGCACCTCCATGCACCTCCATGCACCTCCATGCACCTCCATGCACCTGGGTCCGCCTGCCGGGTTCCGCATACCGCCGCAACCGCCGTCAATCGGTCCTCCTACACCCTTCACAACACCCAACAGGCCCGCTTCAATACCTCGTTGGCAGCGATGAGGTCTGCGGGCTCAGCAGCCAACACGTGAGTGTTCCTCTGGGGTTCTGGCGGGGGGCCAATCCCTGGGATGTTTGTCTTCAAGCTGCCTCCGCCATAGGCGATAGTGCTGCCACCGGTTCCGTTCTTGTTCCCTCGGACCTTCGCGAGTTTTCCCCGCAGCCCTGAGGGATGGGAACTGCATCGAGACAGCTTCGCGGCCCCTAACTGTCGATGCGGTGCCGTGTGTGAAAAGCGGTATCTGATATCTGAACACGGCTCCAACACCGGGCGCCACCGGGCGGAATGACGCACACAACGGTACATCTACTTCACAACCTAACACGACAGCAGCCCTTGGCCTCCAGGGAAGGTTTGTGGTAGGCCATGGACCGCCGGTACGCTATACGTATGCAGTTGATCGGCTCCTTGCGAACGCCGTACATGATATTGTACATATCGCCGTACATGACACCACTGCTCTGACACGCTTACGCTCTAACTCCCCCGCTTCGCAGGGCGTATCAGCGCGCGTCGACACAGCTAGTGGAACTCCGGCAGTCTTGCTGCCACCCGCAGATCGTACGGCGGGAGGCGCAGGCGGGTGGAGGACTCCGCGGCTCTGGTGGCGACGGTGCTGGGGCCGCCGGCAGCAAGGGCCAGGGGAGTAGGCGGAGCATGCGGCAAATCATGTCCAAAATGGTCACAGACGCGTACACCGCATATGACCAGGTGTGCGTGTCTTGTGGCACTGCGCCACCGGGGGTGTGATTATCGGTGGACCAAGATTCGCTCTCGCACGCGTGTGTGCGTGCGCGCATGCGTACGCAACAGCTTAAGCGTGTTCGTTGCGCGGGCTTGTACGTTCCGTTGCCATGCTCGCCTGGATAGCTAGGTGAAAAACACGGCGCGCCTTCCCGCTTGTTACCTGCTTGCTGTCATCTCGCCGGCTCCCTGCTTCCTAGCAAAGCACGTCCCCGGCTGCGCGCGTCCTAATTTCCCAGCATCTCTTTCTTCACCCGTTTCGTCGTGTTTCTCGTGTGCCTGTACGGGCAGGCCGTCGCGTACCTGTACGGCAGCAGGCTACAGCAAGCGGCTCTGGACGATTGCAGGAGAGCTGGAGGTGCGTTGGGAAGGAATGAGGGAGTAGGTCTGAGGGGAGCAGTTCATTGGATTTGGTGCATGTTGGGAAGAGGCGGCGCTAGGGGGAGCGGCCTAGCCTGCCGCAGCCGGCGAAGGCCATGTTTGGTATGGTCAACTGGGTACCCCGCTGTGGGAGCATGTAAAACAGCATCGCGCCCACCTCCGAGCAGCAGTAAATATAGCCACAGTCGCCACCGGCACTTGGAGCGAGGAAGATGGCATCACCTTGGGGTTTTCTCTTATAGGCAGAAGGTCAGGTGTCTCATCCCTTGCATCTGTCGTAACGTCTCATCGGAACAGATGAGGCTCCTTTCAATGTTCTGATCGTTGTGGACAGCAGCAGCCGCTGTCCTCTTGCTGTATGCCCTACGTGTATTTCTGTGACGGCATATTTTTAAAAAAAGGCCCCGACATATCCTCAACCCCGTTACAGTTGTGACGGACGCCGGCAGCGCAGCCGGCACACATACGTGTGCACCTGCCGACGGCGGCGGCGAGCGCACCGCGGGCTCCAGTGTCGGCGCTATGGGTACCGGTGCCGCGGGGGGCCGCCGCATCCGCAGCGGATCGGCTCATGCTGCCGTCGGTGCTGCCGGTCCGACATCATCGCCATCGCTATCGTCGCTGGAAGACCTGCTCGAGTCGATTCGCAAGATGACGAAGCTGGTTTCGGAGCCCGATATTCTGCATCAGGCCAAAATCCGCGAGCGTGACGGTGCGGTTAAGTGGGAGCGGGCGCACGAGACGGCCGCATTCGGTGGCGTGCCAGGGGGTCTGGCGGCAGTGGCGCTGCCGCTAGCGACGGAGCAAGCCCGGGAGCGCAAGTGAGTGGGAGAACCCGACAACCCGTGGATCGGATGGGGGAAGAGCCGGAGAGGGACGGTCAAATAATCGTGGGTGCCTGCAGCTGGGGTAGGCTAGGTGCGCATGTGAAGGGCGGGAATGCAGAGGGGAGAGTACGACACAGGGGGCCCCTAGCTCTGTATTGTCATCATAAGAGGAAAGTGCGGCGGGACAAATGGGGGCGACTAACCCCGTCTCCGTCGCGGCGTCGAGTCTCCTTCCGCCCTCGCCCGCTCCCTTTCGCTGCTCTTCTGCCTTGACCCCGTCATCCCTGCGGGCCTCGCCCCGCTGCTTCGCCCGCAGGCGCCGCTGGATGCGGTTGGAGCTGGACGGGCTTATGCTAACCTGCTATGTCGCCTGTCTGTTGGCGCCACGCGGCACACTGCAGCTGCTGGCAGCCCGGGCCAACGCGCGATTCCTGGCAGAGGCGCAGCGAGCTGCGGAGGCGAAGGCCGAGAGTATGACGGATACGGTGAGTTACCGTCAGGCATTGCTTATGGAGGCGCAGACAAGTTACGAGGCGGCCAAGACAGAGGCAAAGGAGGCAGCTTCCACCGGGGCTGGAGAGATGGAGGAGCAGGCGGCGCGGGGTGGGGCAAAGCCACGGGTAGGGAAGAAGCGGCGCGGCGCCGCCGCGGCAGCGGAGGACGATGAGCGTACTCCAGCGGAGAAGGAGAAGAAAGCCAAAGACAGGATGAACGCGGCCATGCGTGCAGTGGCGGACGCGGTGACGAGTGCTGAGGCAGCGAGGGGGGCGGCGGAGGAGGCGGCGATGACGGCGGTGGCAGCCGACACTGCGGCGGCGGCGGCAATGGCAAAGGCGCCGCCGGGGGTGGTGGCGGCGGCGGACAAGATTGACGCTGATCATATTAAAATGAACGATATTCGCCAGAGGCTGGGTCTGGTGCACGTGGACTTGTTGCTAGCTGTGGTGGAACTGAGGCGTAGCCACCGGCAGCATCAGGATGGGCCATCGGGGGGAGCGGCAGGTGTGGCGGTTGGCGTACGGGTGTAGATGCTGTCACTGTGGCGCCAGCGACGCCGGCGGGTGCGCTGAGTGTAACTAAAGCCCAGCCCGGCAAGGCCGGATTCATAAGGCGCACTCCGCGAAGCGTCACTCGGGTTGGAGTAGTCTGGATTGGCCTGGGTTGCGCACTGGGTCACGTGGGGCAAGGCCAGGCCTGACGGGGGTTTGTGATTGTCGTTTCTTTCCCTTTGAATGCCACAGGACTCGGCAGCGGAGCCTCCGCAGCCGCCGCTGGCGCCGACTTCCTGCTTTATGACTCTGATGACGAGGAGGACGGGTCGCATGGGGGCGACAGTGACAGCGACGAGGGCGACAGACGCCGACGCCAGAGTGGCAAGCGGTGCGCGTGTGTGTGGTGGGGGGTAAGAGGAGAGATTATGGCTGGATGAGGTGGCCTCTGCTGGTGAGGTGGCCTCTGTTCCGCGGGGCGTATCTGCGCTGCGTTTCGCTCGGGCACCCGTGCGCGTCCTTACAGCAAACAGATGGAAAAGAAACATCTTGCCCTCTGCCGTATGGCTTCCATGTCACGACTTACTCCGGGCTGCCCATGGGTGCCTCAGCCATCTCCCCAATCCGTTTCTTATCTCGTCATGGATGAAATGACCTTAACGACGTTACGCTTGCCAAATGCCGTCTTGCGTGCTTTCAGATCAATTGTGGTGATGTTGACACTGCCGTGCTGCTGCTGTTGATGCCGCTGCTTCCGCTGCCGCTGCTGCTTCCCGTGCAGGAGGTATTCTGGCGGCTTTAGGGACAGGAACAAGTCGGCTCAAAAAAAACGTCGGATTGCCGCGGTTGACGGTGGTGGAGGCGGTGACATTAGAACGGTGGACCTGCTGCTCGCACGCGGCGGCACGAGGTATCAGGAGGCCATGTTCAGGTACCCGTGTGGGCTTTCCCGGAAGGGGAAATAAACGGGAGGGCAGGGGCGGGGCGCAGGTCGGCCATAAGGACCTGGGCAGGCGGTGAAGCAGGGGCTGCGGGGAAGGGAAAGGACGCTTGATGCAGAACGAGGAGTGTGCCGGTCTTTTCTCATGTCGCATGTCAGGGGACTCTCAGGCCCGCCACCGCGCCGGATGTCATCATGGTCATGTCAGTGGGTTAGTTTGGGGAGGAACGCCGTATTGCCAATATCGTTTGCCATGTCATTACATAGTCATCAGCACAAACACCGTCATCGCCTCGTCCTCAACCTCGACCTCGACCTCAACCCTCGGCGCCACCGTACTGCAGCCGCACTTCACCAGTCACTGTCGCTGTCGCCACAAGCGTCGCGCCAACCGCTAACCGCGAACTGTCAAACACTGCCACCGGTCCCTCACCAGGTCCGAAGCCGCCGTCAGGGCATTCCAATCAGTCACCTTGAAGCGCTGGCTGGCCGCGGAGGGTTCTGGTAAGACTCCGGGCCCGGCGGCTGATGACCCGCGGCACCTGCAGGTGGTGGGGGAGAAGTGGCACGACCTGCAGCACATGATCAACGAGTTGAGTCCTTCCAGGGAGGGGTAGGGACGAAAGATGCGTGGCGGGCCGTTTTGGGGGTGTAGGGGTGTAGGCGTGGGTGTGTGTTGGGTATGTAAGGGGGAGGGCCCGGGGTATTTAAAGGTGCGGCCTACTCAGAACGAGGAGACGGGTTTTGAGGACCTTAAAATGCACAGGGGCTTCGGGAAAGGCTTCGGAGGGGGGCCGAATCCGTTGGTCGGGAAAGGAGTTTTACCCTGGTCGCCGGACTGAGTCCTCACAACAAAGCGATACGAAAAAAACTGCGGAAATGTGCCGTTCCTGTCTGCCCGGTTGACCAACGCAAGCGCAACCAACCAACCTGGCTGCAGCCTAGCCCTGCTCCTTCCGGTGGTCGCCTCCTACCGGCGGTTACTCCCTCTGTTCGCTGCCTTACTTCCGCCCTTCGTGTGCACCTGCGCCCGTCTCCTTCTGGAACCCCAAGGCAAGCGGAGCAGGGCATGGCTGGGGATTGTGGCAAATCCGACGCGGCTGCCGTCGCGACTGAAGGTGGCATCGCTGGTGATGCCGTTGCCAACGCGGCGGCAGGCCCCTCCGGCGGCTATGCCGGCGGTAGCGCCGCGACAGCCCATGCGGGGCCATTCCGAGGCAGCACCCCCGCCGCTGCCACGGCGGCGCCGCCTAGCAGCAACGCCGACGCCGCCACCACCTCTGCGGCACTGACGCTTCAGACGCAGCAACCGCAGCAGCAGGGGCTCATGCTGCAGCAGCTGCAGCAATTGCTGCAGCAGCAGGCGCAGCAGCTGTCCTCGGGACAGGGCAAGGGCCTGGGTTGCGGCAGTGGGGCCGGCGCCGGCCCGCCCAAGGAGGAGTTCTCCTGCCCCATCTGCCTGGACGCCGTAGAGTGTCGCACCATTACAAAATGCGGTCACACATTCTGCACGGACTGCATACATGACATCGTGCAGGTACGCGCATCTGTCGGAATGGTGTGCAAATGCTGAAAACGCCGTTCGCGTTGCCAGTGCCAGTGGGACGTGCGCATGTGTGCGTTACGTGGTCGGGGAGTGGTCGGTAAATTCCGCACTTGCAAACCTGTAGCTGCCCTGTACGAGCTGAGCGAACTATACTATACTGTACTGTACTGTACTGTACTGTACTGTACTGTACTGTACTGTACTGTACTGTACTGTACTGTACTGTACTGTACTGTACTGTACTGTAAGCGGCTCCGCGATGTGGAGCCATTCTGCGCGGGTCATTTCCCCACCTGGGACAAAACCTTAAAGCACCGCTCGCGACGTTGATGTTTCGTTGCGTGTACGTTAGCAGTTGAATTGGTGTTTACATTTCCCCCCACACATTTGCCCACGGCCACTACCACTGCCTCATCAACCACGGCGTCCAACGTCAATGCTATCCATTGTCATGCATATATCCGCAGGACACGGGCGCGGCGCCGTGCCCCATCTGCCGGCGGCAACTCACGCGGGACGACCTCTTTGACAGGTAATCCATTTCCGGACCTTTCTTCAAGTGTTCAAGAGGCGCTCTGACCGCCTCTGCCGTGGTTGCTACTGCTGACCGGCACCCTGTGTTTTCGTGCTGCAGTGTGCCCGAGGAGGAGGCGGAGGAGGACGATGCCACGGATCCGGGGCTTGGGAACGGCGAGTTCGGCGCAAAGGTATGTACTATCCACTTTCCAAAAAACACTGAACTCTGAACTGTCGCACAACAAGCACAGCGGCGCTCCACGTCTCATGCTTCTCGCACCCTCTCCAGTCTAACCCCATCTCCCCCTTAGAAACCCCAGGGTGTACATTACATGTATTGTACATACGTATGGTAAGCTACTGTATGCACAGCGCATCGGTGATTAGTCAATGGGTAGGGTCTGGCAGGCTCGCAACTAAGCCATGCAGGGGAGGAACCCATGAGGGCTCATACTCCGACTTCTACCATCCAAGATGTCCTCCTCTGTTTCGAGTGGAGTGGCTAATGAGTGATGGACACCGGGGTCCTGACTCCTGGGAATTCCCTTCTGGCCTTCATGCCCAAGTCCCACCTTAAGCCGCACTGCGACATTACACCCCTACGCCCCTGGCCTCCGGGGCCCCCCGGCCTGCTTCTGGTCTGCGGTTCTGTGCGTTTCTAGGTTTCGGCGCTTCTGGAAGAGTTGGACCGCATGGCCACGTCTGATCCCTGCAGCAAGGCCCTGGTGTTCAGCAGCTGGGGCCGACTACTACGGCTTGTGCAGGAGGCGCTGCTGGCGAACAGTGAGTTGGGTAATTAGGTTCATGGCTGCTTGGGTGGTTCTGCTCGGTTCGGTACTTGGGTATTTGCCCGCGTATGCGCTGCTTGTGTTTGTTTGTTTGTTTGTTTGTTTAGAGCTCTCATGGGTTATCGTTTTGTTTCTGACTGCATGGTGCTTGCGATGGCTTGCTGGGAGCGGTAGGCGGTACGGGCTGAAGGGGCTCAGTGGACTCGGTGGGAAGGGGACGGCTCTGAGGTGTGTGTTGACCCGTGTTTCATTTCACATTTCCACATTTGTGGGAGAGCCTTTCCCCTCCCGGGATGCTACTGCGCGCTATGGGAGGGGGCAGGGCTGAGACCATTCCGCCCTTCATCCGCCCTTCATCCGCCTCAGATGTCCGGTGCGCCAGCATGGTCGGAGGCAACCCCGCTGCGCGCCAGGCGGCGTTGCAGAGCTTCCTGCACGACCCCACATGCCGCGTGCTGCTTCTGCTCAAGAGCCATAGCGGCGGAGCGGCGGGTGAGTGACGATGGCGTGGCGTTGCGAAAAAGGGGACAGAGGGCGGCCGCCGGATGGAGATGGGGACGGGGATGGAGGTAGAGGCGGAGTTGGGGAATGGGGATTGAGGGTTTGTACTAACTTAAGCCAGGCCGGTGCCATAACAAGGCCAAGATCGTCATTTTTCGGCTGGCATGTGGGAGGCGTGCTTTCCCGCGCGCCTCTATGGCTGAGAGCATGCTTGCATGTTGCCTCGCTCCTTCCTCAGGTCCTCAGTTCCCCTTAACTACACCCTCTTACTGCATATCCGACTGTTAACATCCGCCTTACCTTCAGTTCACCTTCAGCAACCCTACAACTCTTTCCCACTCTGCCCTCCTACAACCGCCAGGTTCCTTCTTCCCGACCTGTCTTCATTTTCCTTGGAACTGAACCCCCAACCGACCACTGAACTTTCGAGTTGGTTGTTCGTTCTGGCTGTTTCCCGTTCCCACCCCACATCCGTCCGCCCTGGCTAGGTCTGTCCCTGACGGTGGCGCACACCGCCTTTATGCTGGAGCCCGCCGTCAACCCGGGACTCGAGGTGCGAACACTGCAACCCTGCTTTCCTTCCAGAACAGAAGAAGCAGGAACGGCATGGGGCAGGAAGGAAAGCAGTCGGAAAGAACGACGCGAAGGGAACAGGACGAGCAACAGCCCACGCACATGCGTACATGCGTACGCATCCACACAACAACACCATTGTCCAGGTCCCCGCGCTGCCGCGTCGCGGACGGTGTGTGCTAGGATCTCTGCTGGTAATCGTGATCGTGGACATGGTGATGGCGTATGTGGGGGAATAGGGAAGTGTGTCGATGTTTCTGATCGGCGTGAACTGCTTCGAGAGCCTCCCTAAGCCCTTGCCGTCTTCCAACTCCACCTAATATCTCAATTTCGCTGTTGCTGTCGGGTTCCCAACGGTCCCGCTACTGCTGCTACTGCTGCTGCTGCTACGGCCGCTGGCGATTGCAGGCCCAGGCCGCCGCGCGCATCTGCCGCCTAGGTCAGGACCGGCCAACGCGTGTCATACGAATCATTGCCAAACATACAGTGGAGGACAGGTTCGTCAGTGGGTTCTGAGGGCTCCGGACAAGTTATAATGGGGCCGGGACGGTGGGATGCGGCGGGGCATTATAGCGTTGGCTAGCGGGTAAGGTAGGTAGGTAGGTAGGGAGCTTTTAGTCAGAACTCACCTCGGGGACACTGAGCACGAGATCTCTACTCCATGAACCGTATTCCCAACCGTCTCCTGCCGTATGTCCGTTTTGGTGCCCTATTGCAGCAAAGCCACCTACCCACCTACCTACCTATCAGCCTGCCCCGCCGGCTTATATATTACCATGCAGGGTGCTGGCCATGCAGCAGTACAAACAGCAGCTAGGGTTTGACTTGGCAGGGAGAGGGTCCGCGGCCGGGGGTGAAGCTGTCACGGAGTCCGTGGACGGCGGCATGCTACTGCGCTTCTTTGACAAGCTGTAGCTTTCCACTTGGGTCAGGTAAAGCGGCGGCAGCACGCAGCACATTCGCGACATACCCGCGTGATCAACACGGCCGTTACTATTTCCAAAAGGGCTAAGCAGCAACAGCAGCAGCATCGGCAGCTTGTGCAGTAGGTCCTGGTTGAGCGGAGTACAGATGCCATCGATACAAGGCAGAATATGTCTTACAGCAACTTGAGCACGCATTTATGGCGTGGCGAGATCCACCAATGCGCTTCTCATTCGGCCGTGTTAGCACTGCTGCCCGCGATGGACTGTGGCTTGCCGCGGTATTAAGAAGCTACGCAGCTAGACGCCAAGCAGCTGGGCAATGCAGCGGCGGCATTGTCACAGCGTACGGGTCCTGCGGAAGAACCGTCTGCTGCTGCGGTACCTGCTGTAGCCGACACCACGACAACCGTACAACCAAAGCCTAGAATGCGGGTTGCAGGACTGCAAAGCAGGCATGGGAGAAGGGATGTCTTTGTCTTCAAGGTCTTCAAGGTCTTCTTATGGAACCGGCAGCCCAAGGGCCCTGCGAAGAGCGAGGTAACGGCGTGTAACATATTACTGGGCCCGGCAAGACATCTGCTTGGCTTGTAGCTGCGTGTCCTTATGCTGGGCAGGGGAACTTGCTTCCGACTCAGAGTTCGATTTTCTGTGTGCATCTAATTATAATATTTTGTGAATCTACGGTTACATTGGGACAATATGTGGCTGAAGTTCGTACTAACCGCATGCGTTTGTGCTGGAAGAGAATAGAGAGAAAGCATGGCGGACGTCGAGGATAAACTGCGTCTGCTCAAACCCGGGGCTCAAATGGGACGACAAGCACGCGGAGTTTGGTTCATTGCAGCTATTAGGACTTGTTGCACGTGTAGTTATTGGTAATTGTTGTTGTGTTACGTGGTCGTGGGTGCGTTCCCTAATACGAGCCGAGGGCTCAAGGGTTGCGGTGGGACCATATACGTTCCAGCATCCTTGCCAGGCGTTCAGGTTCCCACTTCATAGCGTCCTTCATGTGCTCGAAGCGTGGGAAATCCTATTGGTAATGGCAGGGCACACCACGCGCGAATTAGTCCCTACGATGCAGAGCGGCTTTTGCATGTGGCTGTCGTCTTATCCCTGAGATAGGGAGAGGAGCTAGGCCTCCAATAGGCACACATTACCTTGAAAGATGAGCTGTACAGGCGCAGTAATGTTTTTTACTAGTGCATTTTGAGCCGCTGCCAAAGAACTGGCAACTTGAAACCCCTGCTATTACTGCTGGCTGCTGTTGTTGCTACTCCCGCCAGCTCCCGCTCCAATGCGTTTTTCCTGTCTTGCGGCAGAGGGCGGCTGTGACTGCTGATGGGACGATGGGAAGAGCTTTGATTACGATTTTGTAAATTGAGTGCTGTCGAAATGTGAGTTCAGACCAGCCGTTTATCTAACGGCAAACGCATTGTTGAGCGTCGTCGAGCCCCACGAAATTTACAAAGCTATAGCAAATCCTATAGGTAACATCACGTCCTTGGTAAAAAAGTAAGCAAAAGTCCTTTGTATAAGCCAATAAGACGGCGACTGGGAGGCAGAAAGTCGAGGTTGAAGTGGCTAAAATAAAGCGGCAGAGTTCTAACATGGCTGCGCACCGCATGATACCTACTTTCCTTGCTTTGCCCTTTAAATGCAGATTTACTTCCAAATGTTACAAATGACCACGATGCATTTCGCCGTCAGACATGTTCGGGGCAATTAAAACGTAAGCCGATAGGAACGGATAGCCAGGCGGTGACACGTCCGGATGTTTGTCAGTCTCCCGTAGATTTGACTTAAGCGCGTTCCAACACGACTCAGTGAAGATATCTTTCCGCCATGCAAAGTGTATTGCAGCGTACCAACCAACATGCCGTGGGTTTGCGGGTTTAGTATTGCACGACATGTATGTGCGTCGTCTGGTTTTAGAGGGTTTTGAGACGGCGACAGAGACTGACATGCATGTTGCGTGCAGATGTCCGCCCGCCCCGGGTTTCTGCGTGTGAAGCATACAATAAATGGCTTGGCCAAGCCAATGTCTTCCAACCCCTGCCTTCTTCCATTTGGCTTGGGTGGATCTCGATTTAGCCAGCGCTCTCACACGTCCTCCTGAGGTCCCCGAGCACTATCCACGCTCACATTTCCTTCCAACAGCTTGGCACTTCAAGTGTTGTGATTGCCCACCATCGCAATCAAAAATTGCACCGGTCATCCATTCAATGGCCTGGTGCCTGGGTGCCTTGCTTTTACATATCGCGCTGTTGACAATATGCCCATGTTTGGCAGCCCAACATGGCACGACTCGTGTAGCTTTATATATGGATGCCACAAGTGACGTCCTCGATTTCGATTGGAATGACGGCCCAAACAACCTGCTAGTGCAATTCCAGCAGCTTGGCTTCAATGTTCAGGTTTCCCATGCTCATCAGCCAAATCTTCTTGGCTCTGACAAGCCATCAGCCTACGTTGTGCCTGTGCAGAACGGGCACCTGTTTTACAGCTCAGTTGAGGATATGAGCGCTGTGGCTGCTTACGTCCAATCGGGCGGCTTGGTTATCATCTTGGACGCAAACCATGGCGAAGGCGAAGCCCTCCGCAATTTCGTTAGCTCTTGCCTGGGCTATGAGGGTGAGCTTATTTAAAATTAAACAGCAGATACTTGTTTCTTGGACGTGCGCGACCTTTTCGTCCTCTACATACTTATAGGCACCTGGAGCCACTGCAAGCAATTAAAAGCAAATTCCAGGGGCTTGGCGGTGCTGAACGGCTATGCGTCAAAATCCTTCCTTTCTGACGCTGCCGATCCATGGCCACAAGCCTTAGAGAATGCAAGCACCATAACTTACTTAACCTGGTGTCGTCACGAGGATATATCTGCGGTGACCTTGCCGCTTTATGAATTGCAAGATGACTCCACAAGGGTCGCAGTTCAGGTGTGTTCGATAATGTCGAACGAATCTATTGATATTAATAATAAATTCGGGATATTAATACAACTTCTATGCGCAAAATGGCTTTCCAATTACATTGAGTAGGTTTCGTCTGACAGTTAATTGCCACCTGCTTGGGATCCTATGCCTGCGCGTATTGCAGGCTTTCAGCAAGGTCAATAACCCCGGAGCTGTCGTCTGGTTAGGTTATGACTGGACGGATGGCCCACAAGACCAGTGGGGCGCTCTTCTAAAGAAGCTCGTCACAGATTTCGCGCAAGGTGAGCAATCCGGCATCATTTGGCATCTGGTTGCCGTAGGCTGCTGTTGCAAATACACATAGCGCACAACCTGGGATTCAAAGCACCTGGTAACCGTTTTGTTCCACCGTTCCACCGTTTTGTCCCACCGTTTTGTTTTCAAAGTGAGCCACCGCCAAATCTGTACCGCCCCTTCACGGGCCTTCGCTACCCGCCTTTGCCCAGGAGCTTACTACGCGCCTTTGTTCGGAAACGCCGACGCACATCCCTTGTTTGCTGTGGACACCGTCTTGGAGACCGCATCGGATGTCGTTGCGGATGTAGCTGAGATTGTGCGGCGCTTCCTGGCGGTTTCCGGAACGTACCCCTCCCCGCCGGCAAACCCCCCTCCCTCTTCGCCCCCCGAGCTTACGGGCTTTCCCCCATTGCCACTTGGCAAGGCCATGGAAGTTGCAAAGTATACGGCAGTGTACGAAGAACCAGCTGGGGAGGAGTTTGACTTCACGGGGCTCATCAATCGCCTGAAAATCTCGGTGGCTGCTGCAAACGTAGGTCGATGACGTTCATCGGATACGTTGTCTCGCATGCCACAAATGTGGAACAGAATTTGTTTTGTGCTTACGAATACCATTTGTTCCACGTTGCCGTGTTTGCAGGACGTGCCGACTGGCAACGTGATTGTCAACTTTATGATTTTCCCCAACGGAACCGGATTGCGCGGACATTGGCGTCGTCGCGCAATTGAGACTTCCGAGCGCATCCTTACCGATACAGAGATTGCTGAGATGTATGCGAAGACAGATATGCGGCCCCTTGAGCTTTACCTTGTCAGCAAGGCCCCCATCACGGATGAGATGATGCTTCAGGTCTGTGCGGTGCAGCTTTGTGCACGGTTCACTGTGCATAAGCCAGCGCCGGTACTCGGAATGTTTGTTGTTGTGCAGTGCAATACGTTTTCCTCACTAAGTCCTGTGTGATTCCAGTCATTTTTGGTCGTTTTTAAATGACTGTTGCTGTTTCTTATTTCACCCTGGCCTTGCTGATTTCATTGGTTGCAATGCAGCTTGCGCAAGAGGAGACGGAGTTTATCCGTCGTGCGATGCTGGACGGCACGGCGGATAACGCAGCACAAGGCGGCCTTCTTCAGATTGGTTACCTTGTTATCAAAATTATCAGTGTGGCCTATCCTCCATCGCCACCGCCCTCGCCGCCGTTGGAGCCTGGACAGATTGCCCCGCCTATGATGCCCCCTTCGCCGCCCGAGCGACCCTCCTTCCCCCCACCTTCGCCTCCTGTCAACTTCACCCGTATTGAGCTTGAGACTGGTAAGCAATAGTGTGGGGCCTAGTTAATGCCACATTTGCTGTGTCAGTCAATGCGTATTACAAACATTCCGCCAGCACCCTTTGACACCGAAGCCGCGATTAATGAAAATGGTTCCCGTGCTTTGTAAACCTTTGAAGGACTCTTTCCCTAGGCGGTCATTCGATACACGTCGTGCCATGGTCGCAGGTGCATTTGGCGTCAAAGATGGCTGGTCGCCGCCATCGCCGTCGCCGCCGCAACAACCGTCGCCGCCGCCAATGCCGCCGTCGTCCCCGTTATCCCCATCCCACCCGAGCCCGTCGGCTCTTCCATCGCAGCCTCCACCAGTATTTCCTGTGCAGTCAATTCCTTTGCCGTCGATGCCGTTGGAACTTCCGCCTGTTCCATCACCGCCATCGCCATCTCGGCCCTCCCTTTCGCCGCCGTCTCCATCTCCTCCGTCACAGTCGCCGCCTGCACCGCCATCCCAG